AATTCAAATTTGAATTGCGGTCTCGAAAACTGCGATGGTCCGCAATAATTCAAGGCGCTCGTTTTTTTTGCAATGAAAAATATCAAAATACCTTGATTATAATAATTGACAAGAACAGCAAACATGCAGAATAGCAATGGAAATGCACAGATTAACAACGGAACAACAATCTTTATCAAAATTGTGGCGGATTAGAAGATTATTGATTACCTGAATGCACACTGAAATAAAAAATTTCGTTTGCATTTTTTTCGTTCTAGATGAAATGCGATGTTTTAGATTAACATTTAATAGATACAGTACGCAGTGAATTGAAAAGAATGCTCCTTGACAAAGAATGAATGCTGCTCCAGTATATTGAACAACAGAAACTATGTTCGTTGTAGAGATTACGTATAATTTATCGGAGAAGAAATCAATACTTGGACATGGCACTTTCTAAATATAAAACTGTACTATACAGTGCGTTTCACATTTATAACGTCACCCTTGTTTTTGGGCTTAACTTTTTCAAATGTTAAAATTTTTGAATTCTGGGCTAAAAATACATATGTATACCAATTGTTATAATGATATCTGAAAAATTGGACAAGTGACATTGAAGACACTTAAAATTTGTCACTTGCAACCGTTTCACATTTATAAAGCCATCCCCGTGAACGCGGTAAAAAACTTTTTTTATAAAACCAGATCAATATTTAGTTGCGCCGTGTTTTAAAGAAATAACGTCCTAGATACGATTTGATATCGATTGGACATGATCTTCCATATTTTGGGTGGACTTTGTGTTGAATTCTTCCTCCAGTAGATCCCCGCTTTCATTTCATCAATAGATCGATATTGTTTTCCATGACGATAAACGCGGCGAACCAGTTCTCCACAAACATTCTCCTTCGGATTTAAGACTGGTGAGCAAGCACGTTGACCACTCCAAAACGTCGATAATTTCTTTGTTGAGCCAATCCAAAGTCGATCGGCTCATATGAATTGAGGCATTGCCTATTGGAATGCGAACTTTCTGCACCTAAATTGTCGTCGAAATGGTAAAAGATGGTCCTTTACCACTTGTTGATAGTCCAGCAAGTTCACTCGACAGTTGACAACCGCAGCTTGCGAAATTCCGCCAAAGAGAATGCTCCCCAGACCTGCAAATCACTAATCACTACAATGGGAGGTGTTTTTACTTAGTGGTTTGGAATTTTTTCTAATTCTACACACAAGTAATTCAAGAAATTCCCTATCGAGTGTGCTATGCCGTTTTCTGCAAATGTTCCAAAAAGTTCCAAAATCATGTAACAAAGTATAAAAGCAATGGTTCAAAATTTGAAACTTCGGACCCAAAATTTTGGAATTTGTGAATGTTTGGGGGAACTGGTTCGCCGCGTTTATCGTCATGGAAAACAATATCGATCTATTGATGAATTGAAAGCGGGGATCTACTGGAGGAAGAATTCAACACAAAGTCCACCCAAAATATGGAAGATCATGTCCAATCGATATCAAATCGTATCTATGACGTTATTTCTTTAAAACACGGCGCAACTAAATATTGATCTGGTTTTATAATAGAGTTTTTCTGCGTTCACGGGGATGGTTTTATAAATGTGAAACGGCTGCAAGTGACATTTTTAAGTGTCTTCAATGTCACTTGTCCAATTTTTCAGATATCATTATAACAATTGGTATACATATGTATTTTTAGCCCAGAATTCAATTTTGAAAACAGAATAATTCAAAATTTTTTACAATTGACAAAGTTAAGCCGAAAAGCAGAGATGACTTTAGAAATGTGAAACGCACTCTATATAGGAAACGAAAGAAAAATATACCTCAAATAATTTAGGCAAAATTAACATTTGATCGGGTACATCAATATACATTAATATGGGTAACCCCAATGTAATAGTATAATTTATAATATAAAAAAATCTATGAGCATATTCGCCGCCAATTTTTAATCGTGATGATTGAATCAAATGATTTTGTCGATTTTCAAAAAAAAATACTATTGACATTCCGACAGATATGATGGTAGATGTTGTTATATAGACTTGAATTGCTTGACTCACACCAATTCTTGTCAAGATTCCATTAGCATAGCCGCAGAATAACGGAAAAATCATATATGGTATGACTAATGTGCCCATTAACAAATCCAATAATGAGGATACAATGTGGCTGTGAATGAGAATGTTCTTAAAGGTTTTCATGTTTGGGCTCGTTTTCGTTAGAACACAATAAATGCCGAGCAAATTTACTGGAAGTGTGATCAACGAGGTGGCATGGCATGATATCGTCAAAAACTCGACGCTGTCCATATACGTCGATTTTGGGCAATGTGTGTAGTTAGTCGCAAAATACAATTCCATAACTATGATTTCTGAAATTATGATCACTCAAAGGCGCATACATGCGCTGAAATCACCTGTCGCAGACTCTGTGGGACCGGCATCGAGTCTGATAAACACGTGGTTCAGATTTAACAAGTATACACAATAAATTCTTGAGCACGAATCAGTAAAGTCATCGAACAAAAAGGAAAAACACAAAAAGGGGAAAGTTGCATAAGTTGATATGCCAATTAATTTAGTTCTACTTAATTAAATTAACTAATCCATCAAGTGTGGCCGTGGCCGAACCTAATTTTTGAGGTCAATTTTCTAGGTGGCACGTGAGTTGCAGCGATCAGTGTCACTACGTTCCAATGTGGGAGAACTAAATTGTTAATTTGGTCGGTCGTGGCCATCTCGCTTCCAATTCTAATTCCGCAATATCACCTGCGCCGCGCTGATATCCATGTTTATATGTCGAAAAAACATGATTTGTATATATGAAATACAGTGCGCGTCATAATGATACGCCACCCTCCAAATTTCGCAGTTTTGAGAAAACCATATAAATTGGTGAAGAGACAATTTCATTTTCGAATTTAGGGTCATTGAAAACCTATACACGCGCATTTTCATGAGGGTCCGTTGATCTCAAATTCTTTAACTAATTCGAAAACCCATTTTCTTTGCAAAACCATTTTATTAGAGTGTTCGAAAACAGAGCTGCACAGAACTTAAATTTTCCAAAAACGGAAGACGGAAGAAGGAACACAAACTTAATCTAATTCGAATACTTTAAAATTAACGGTGCAGAATGTGAGATTTTCCAAGTGCTCATTCGACAAGGACCTTCTTTTTGTCGAACAATTTTTTTTCCGGCTGTGCTAAAAAACCCTCTTAGATGCGCTAGACGTGCTAAGTATTGAGAGATATCTCAAGCGGAACACGGAACAAGAAAATGTTACGGAAAACGGAAGACGGAATTCCGTGCTGCTCTGTACGGAAAGTAATGGGGCATTTGACGTAAATAGTCGAGAATGTTCTCGAAAGTTTTCAGTGACCTATATACAGTACTGGCCATAATGATGTTCGCCTAGTGTTTTTTGAGCATAACATGGCACAAACGCGGCCGATTGGGCTGAAATTTTTACTGTAAACGCTAATCACAGTTGCGCAACCTTGGAAACAACAAAATTGCCTCATGTTGAAAAATTAATTTTTTTTTCAATCTTTTTGTTTTTTTCGATTTTACCAATTTTTCATTTTTTTTCAAACTTTGACCATAAAATTTTTTTATTTGAAATTTGAACTTGAAACTTGTTTTTTTCTAATTTTTCAACCTTCTGAAAAGAAAAATTTCACGGCGGACGTTCAAAAAGCGATCGTCAACGGTCATAAGGCTAGGTCATGCAGAAGCTCCCTAGCTCAGCAATTCCTGTGCTCCCGAAGAGAAATTCAAAAAGTTTTGCAACGATTAAGACTAAATGTACAATTTTTTAATCATTCTGGACTGTTTCTAATCTCTTGGGCTGCATTTTTCTTAAGAAATCACATGGTAGACCTTGCAAAACTACTAGGCTCCATGATCGGAACATCTGCCGTGCTTCGAGAGAAGATCCTAGACGGACTGCAGAAGATATCCAGATGCTTGTGGCAACGCCAAATGCTTCAATGTCATCCAGAAGAACAATTAGACGTTGTTTGGGGGAGAATGGACTTCATGGAAGACGCCCGGTGAGGAAACTATTGATCAGTGAGAAGAACCAAAAGACGAGGGTGGCATGGTGCAAGGATCATCTGAACTGGGACGATGTGAATGGGCCAAACACATCTGGAACGATGAATCGAAGTTCAACTTGTTCGGAACTCATGGAATCAAGAGTATTCGTCGACCTATCGGAGCCAGATTCATGCCAAAGTAACACCTCCGAACGGTGAAGCATCTTGCAGGGTCTGGGACTGCTTCTCCGACATCGCCATGAGACCGCTCCGACGTGTAAATGGAATCATCGATCGGTACCAGTACAAGGATATCCTGAAAACCATAATGAGACCTTGGGCATTGGCAAACGTCGGACGTGCATTCGTTTTCCAGCAAGACAACGACTATGAGCACACGTCTGTACATGTAAAGAATTGGTTCCAATGTCGCCGACTTGATATTGTTGCATGGCCATCGCAGATTCCGGACCATAATCCGATCGAACATCTCTGGGAAGAGCTGTTACCAATGGTTAGAGGGCTCCGAGCATCAATTGCCGACGAGAAGCTCGCTCAACTCGAAGCCGCATGGAGTGTCATTCCGATGCAGTGATCTGCACCCTCTTGGACTCGATGCCTCGCAGATGCCAAGCGGTAATTGATGCCAAGGGATACGCAACAAAGTATTGTTAAATTAAAAACCGACACATTTGTAATGTTTTCGGGTTTCTGAGCCTTTCAAATCACATTGTGTTATTTTTTCCATTTTCTGCATTTTCATGAAATTTGTGATTTTTCGAAAAAAAAACTTTCCTGCAGTATTCGATATCATTCAAACGCATTTTCAACGCGTTTTAAAGATATGGTAAAAATTTCAGCCCGATCGGCTGCGTTTGAGCCAAGTTATGCTCAAAAAACTCTAGGCGAACATCATTATGGCCAGTACTGTACATATAAGCTCACGTAGTATTACTGCGAGTTCGCTTTTAGCTCATCGGAACGAACGGCCGTCCGAAACATCAACATTTGTCCGAAACAACGTTCGGCTCCTCGACTGCTAACAGCACCATAGCTCATTGCTGGTTCGCTCGCATCCACAACTGGGATCTGTGTTTTAAAGATAAGCCGCTCACGTGTCGCCCACCCACCCTCGACAACGACACACTGTATGCTGCTATCAATGCCAATTCCGAGGCTAAAACAAGAGATCTTGGGTGCGCAGTTTCCACCAACTCGACCCGACTACACCATACCACAAAATTCGCTCGAAGTGGGTATCGCACGAGCTGACGGACGGCAACGGTCAAGCACGAGTGAGCATCGCTCTTTCTATTCTTTACCAGACGCACCGCAAGTAGTTTCTGGAAGATCTGGTTACTGAAGATCAAAGCTGGGTCTACTACGCAAATAACTCGTACCACGACGACTGGCTGCAGAGAGGAGAAGAGCCACTGCTGCCCAAAAGCGACATCCACGGGAAGAAGTTTCTTCTTTTATCTTCTGGGATTCTCAAGGAGTGCTCTTCTACGAGGTTCTCAAGTAGGGGCAGACAATCAGAGCTTCCATGTGCTGTTATCAACTTGAGAAACTCGCGCAAGAATTGCAGCAGAAGAGGCCAAGGAGGTCGATGGTCAATTTCCTTCATGATAATGCCCAATCAGAAAAAGACTGCAGGCGCCCCGCTGGCAAATCGTACCGACATCCCTCTTACAGCCCGGGCCTTACCACCCCTGACTACCACATTTTCCTCCCGCTTAAGCGTTCCCTGAGAGATTTCTATAATTCCAGAACTTTGATGACCTCATTTCCGCAATTTCATTGTGCATCGAGTACCAATCCCCCCCCCCCGAGTTTTGGCAGAAGGGCATTCAAACTCGGCCCATCCGTTGATTGAAGGTTATTGATAACAATGGCTAAAAAAAAGAACAAAAATGTGTCAAAGTGAACCGTTACTTTCCGAACATCCTAATTTTTACTTTAGTAAAATGCATGTTTAAGACAAAAAAAGTTTGAATTGTGAGAAAAAGTACTCAGCATATTTTTTAGAACATTCATTGATTGGAAATTTGCCAATTGTTGTATAACTCGTAAAAGTCGACACCGTTTTTTCTTATTTTTGAAAAAAAAAAGCAACACAACAAAAAATAAAAATGAACTACGTACAGTGCGTTGCAGAATTATAAGGCCACCCCCAAATTTGAGCGCCACGCAATGATTTCGATATTTTAAGACCAACCAGTGTGAAAATCGTGTTCAGCATGAAAAATAACCTATATGTATCTATTTTTATGTTAGTATCTTCAAAAGTAACTGCGCAGTGGTCCAAAACCGTTTTTTCGAGCGGTGCAGAATTATAAAGCCACCCCCATGAAATACGTTATAAACTCAAAAATAACGACAGTTTAATGTTTAGTGGCACCTCCATTTGAGGTAAGAACATTAAAAACACGATCTGGCATAGATTTGAAAAGGTTTTAAACAGATTGGGTCGATTTAGATTTGAATTTCTGCTCTAACGTCTTCCATTCGACTACGATTTCGGTTTTGAGCTCTCCAACCCCGAATTTCCTTCCTTGGCCATAGAAACGCCGTACTAACTCTCCCCAGACGTTCTACATGGGACTCCAAAAAGGAGAACATGATGGCCAATCGAGAACGTCCACACTGTGAGACTGAAGCCAGTCCAAAGTAGACCGACTCACATGAATGACCGCATTTTTCTGTTGAAAAAGGACAATAGTGACGTCGGAATGGAAAAATATGGCTCTCAAGAACATTCTGATAATCCGAAGAGTCCACCCTACTCGTCAGAAAAGCCAATTCCAGAAATCCGGAAAACGAAAACGCGTCCCCCATAATATCACGCTTCTTTCTCTAAAATTGAGTTTTGAAAGCAGGAGGCGATTCTTTCATAACTCGGGCCAGAAACTGTTATAGCCGTTTGGACCATCCAAATTAAAATTTTTTTCATCGGAAAAAAACCATTGGAAGTTTGAGTGGTTATTATTCGCAATATTCTCGAATATAAACACCTTGTTCCAATCCGTATTCATGTTTTTGAATGCGAACTCAAGGCGTCGAATTTTATGGTCCTCTGTGAGTCGCGGAGCCGGCTTCATTTTTTCTCTGGCGATGTTTCTTGATGGTACCCCAAACTGTCTACTTGCTTTTGTCGAAGTTTAGCTTCTTCTTGATGTCATTTGTAGACTTCATACTGCTCGAAGCTGCTCGAATGCTTGCTCGATTAGCGCGATAGTCCAGTTTTCCTCTGGCGCCTGCCTTTTGCGACATGTTGACACGAGTTAGATCCTTCACAAAGATGTCTACGAATGTTTTCGGACCATTTAAATTCTTCGAAACCCGACGGTTCGACCATCCTGCCGTTTTGAATGCGGTAATCTGAGATTGCTCAGAAGCACTAAGACAGCGACCACGTGGCATTTCAAAATGATTCAAAAAGTGAAAAATAAGGACCACTGTAGGTTCTCAAAGCCACACAACAATTTTTATGCACACTGGTCCCGCCAAAAATTCAAAAAAAAATGCGAAAAAGTTCGTTTCATGGGGGTGGCTTTATAATTCTGCACCGCTCGAAAAAACGGTTTTGGACCACTACGCAGTTACTTTTGAAGGTACTAACTAAAAAATTGGTACATATAGGCTATTTTTTATGCTGAACACGATTTTCACGTTGGTTGGTCTCATAATATCGAAATCATTGCGCGGCGTTCAAATTTGAGGGTGGCCTTATAATTCTGCAACGCACTGTATATACCTAAATGAAAATGTATTATATTAACAAAATCAAAATGCAATATTTTAAGAATAAATCCCTAAAAATAGAATGTGGTGATCTTTGGTTAGAAAATAAACAAATGGATGATCGGCTGTGAAGTGAACGACGGAATCCGTCTTCCGACGCTTTCTGGCAATCTCGAATGAGGTGCAAGCAGAAGCAACAGTACCTTCTTTTTCAATCTAAACAAACCATTTTGGTAATACACGAATTAAATTGGAATTTTACTCTGATTTTTGCCTTATGAGATATTTTTGAAATATAAAGACCATTCGCCAAATTGGACAAATCGCAATGTTTTTTGAAAATATTTTCGATTCCAAGATTTTCCAATGTTTTCTGAAGATTATAATCACTTTCAATGTCCATTTTTGGTATTTTTATCTGAAATCAATCAATCGTTAAATTTGAAATCGAATAGTTGTAAAAGATCACATTCACGGCACACTGTTCATTATTTGTGAATGTATGAAGAAGTTGAGCTTCGTCCAATTTCTCAAGAGCTTCCTTCAATCCGAATCGTGTGACGGGTAGCAATACGTGAAATGCAAATCTTTTATCTGCATATCTGAGCTTCAAACCCTGCCATGTATCGTTTTTTAATTAAAAGCTGAGCTTATTGTCAGCCTTCAGATATTGTTTCTAAAAATACTACATGATAACAGCTATAGAAACTGTAGAATACCTTCAATGAAATTTTAGGCGAAGGGTAAAAATTCATTTCGAATGTATTCGTTCGTTTAAATGGATTTTCCCATTTTCCGTTAAAACAAATGACATTAATCAAAACAGCGATAATTTCTGAAGATATCGACGAAGCTTTGATAATGAAATTGATTTCATTTCGAGTTTCTTCTTTAACAAATAAATTGATTTTCTGAAATACTCGATGTTGTATGTATATGTTCTACAGGGTGGCCCAAAATTATGGAAACACATTCAAAGCGATGTAACTTTTTTAAAAATGATCGAATCAACTTGAAAATTCACAGATAGTTTATTGAATCAGTTATAAACAAAAATACATCAACATTACGCGATTCGATTTCCTTTGTTCTTCATTACTTCCTTGAGTTTCTTCGGGAATGCCTCGACTGTGGCACGGAGGTATTCTGGAGATAGTTTGGCCTATTCCTCAACCAAACATTTCTTCAATGACTCCAAATTGGTATAGGGATGTGCCTGGACTTTCGATTAAAGTACACCTTAAACATAATAGTCGAGTGGGCAAAAATCCGGCGACGACGCTGGTCATTCTGAACAAGAAATAACCCGGCAAAATTGGCGGCACACTGGGATTTTACGACTTTTGCTCCGGGATCCACAAGAACAAGCGAAATCTTCCCATCAGACGTGATCGCCCCAAAAATCATGACTTGTTGAGGATGAGACATTATGTTGATCGTTCTTCCGTGCTTATTGGCTTCGTCTGTGTCCCCTGTAAGCACCCGATGATTTTGCGAGTTGAATTCAGCCTCCACGGTGAAGAGCTTCTCGTCCGTAAACAGCGTCTTCAAATGTTCATTTTGGCGCGTGCCAGCAAGATGTGATTCGCACTTTTGCTCTCGGGCCAGCTTGTTCTTTTCAGTTGAAACTGCCGCTTTTCTAACACAACACGGGGTCAGTCCAAGCTTATTTTTCACTATGCGCTCCATCGAAGATTTGCTCATACCGAGCTCCAAGCTCATGTTTCTCATGCTCCGGTGCGGATTTCGACGAATTCGTTCTCTGGCGACCTTGATCCTCTCCGGAGTGATAGAACTGCGAGGTCTTCCGCTTCTCGGACAGTTTTCAAGTGTGTTAAGCTCCTTGTATCGTTTTACGGTTTTACAAATTGTTGATCGAGAGATTCTGTGAGCTTTTGCGATGCAACTGTCGCTCTTCCCTCACGTCGCCATTCGATAATGGTACCTCGGTGTATTGAATTGGCTACCATTTCAGTAAAAATGAAGCTAGGAACTAGAAAATTTGGGAATAGGGTAATTAAAACATGCTGAAAAAGAAAAAAATAAAATTGGGGCACAAAAAATGCGCCAGCATCTGCCAGAAGGCTTCAAACTTGTGTTTCCATAATTTTGAGCCACCCTGTATTCAGAGGCTCAAAAACCGGTAAAAATCATAAAAAAAATCACTATACATATTCGTATTCGCTATGTAGGTTGCCGAGAGACTAGTTTTTTTTTATTTTTGCTCCAAAATGTGCACAGTATCATTACATATGTAGGTATTTCTTGTAAACACTCACATCGGCACATTGCTCCCTTTTGCCGAAATTTACTGATTCTACACTCGCTGGCTGATCAATGTTGTTAGAAAAGAATTTTTCTTTCAGTTCCAGAGTATCCCTTAATGTATATTTATAATTATGCATGTCAGTTTTAAAGAAATCCTTTCTAGAAACTATTATGTTAACTTCATTTTTTTTTCTTTAAAAGAAATATCATTGACAACTTACGAAATAAACAATCTGGTGGCAAAATTTACTTGGCATTTCTCCGATTCTTTTAAATAAATTGAAAGAGCAAGAAACTCATTTTGAATTTCGCCATCAGATAGCCCTGAATCATCGTCATTTGTGGTGTTTCGAACAAGCGAACCTTTTGCAAGAACTTGATGAATTTGATTCTTGGTTTCTCCATTTGCCATCGAATGAACCATTGCGAGTGCAAAGGAAATGGACAATGGAGAGATCACGCTAAATTCATGTAAATCAAGATGGCGGAGAAGAGAAATCGCCAACTGGGTGCTGCATTCGAGTTGCTTCCAATCTCTGAAACTCTTTTGAGTATTGATCATAGCCTAAATAGCTCACCGTTGAGTCATCGAAATCAAAAAAATAAATTTTATTTCTCGTTTAGACGTAGGATGCAAAGCAAACAAATCGATAAACAGCGCAAATAAATGAATATAATGTGATAACGGACATGGAACATCAAAAATCGAAGCAACACCGATTTATTTTTCACGGAAATATTTGAAATTTGTTAAGCATACACTCCAATAAATAAAGGTAATCCGTTTTTGGAAACGATGAAAAGAAATGGGTGATCGGCTTTGAATTCGACAACTTTCGGATCAAAAATTCGTGTCTTCTTCACTATTTTCACGGATGTTGCAGCAGACGCTGTTGTTCCTTTTTCGTCAACCTGAAATTAAACATTTTATCAATTGTACAGGATATTTTGATACCTGAATCTTTGTTTTATGAACTATTTTCGAAATTGTTGCAGATTTCGACAGATTGCTCAAATCAGAGTTTTCAGTGAAAATTCTCTCGATTCCCATTTTTCGAAATGTCTTCTCAAGCGCTATTTCACTTTCAATTTTCATTTTTGGAATGTAGATCTAAAAAAAAGAGCATTAGTATTTTAGGTAGATTTTGGTAGAATATTCGAATACTCACATCCAAATCCGATTGAACATTGTTAATTAGTAGATGTTGAAACGTCGAAGCATTTAATGATTTCAAATTTTCGCTCAAACCAAATCGGATAGCTGGTAGAAAAACGTGAAAAGCGAATGATTTGTCGATATAATTCAATTTGAGAACTTTCCACGATTGGTCTTCAATATACCCACATCTAGTATTTTTCTCTTTCAGATAAACAACCTGAAAATATTTTTTGATTTATTATTCAAAAATTGACGATAAACCTTTCTAGACGTGGTCGGGCTATTATAAAACTCAGATTCCCAATTATTTTGAGACTTGAACTGTTTGTCCCAATCTGCTTTGAAGTACAGAGCATTGACAAGAAGCGCAATAATATCCGTGCTGATATCGGATGGTTCAATAATCGAATCGATCTCGTTATTCGTGGTATTCTGAACGAAGCTATTAATCTTCTTAAAAAGGAATATTTTATGCAAATTCATTCCACTATTCTCCAACCTCAGCAGTTTCGTCTTTCTGATTAAAATCAACACTTTCGGCTCCAGAATCATACAATTTTTTCACTTGACTCAAGTATTCTTCTCTGATTGGAAATTGAGTTCTACATATTATTGAATTTATGTTATTTAGAAAATCAGAAAAAAGAGTAATTACGAAACAAATACTCGATTGGCAAGTTTCACATCGCATTTTTTGTTGTTCAGTAGATCAATAGAAATGGCTGATAATTCACTTTGAAACTCGTCATCAGTTATTCCTAAGAATTGTCAAACTGAGAATTTGTCATTTGAAATTAGTGAACCTTTCGCAATAGCATTTTGAATGATTTGTTTAGTTTCTCCGTTCGCTGCTGCATGAACCAACGAAAGTGCAAGGTAGATCGATAGGGGCGAGATGACACTCGACTCATTTAAAGGCCAATGTTCATTGACTCATACTTTTTGACTTGACTCATGATTTTTGACTCATAAAAATTGTATCATGATTTTTTATTCTTTGACTCATGATTTTTGACTAGTGATTTTTGACTAATTTTTTTTTGACTAACAATTTTTGACTAATGATTTTCTGAATTTTTTTAGTTGAGATTCCTGCAGTTTTTTCAGTATTCGATTCTGTTTTTTTGGCCAATATTGATGGGTAAGAAGCTAAAGGGTGGGAGGAATTGGAAGAAATGTTATTACTGAATGGGGGAAAGATTATTACTGAAAGGAAAAAATGTTCTTCTAACTTCTGTAAGCTTAAAAAATTGTTTTTTTTGGCATTTCATCGCTTATCGATTTCAATGAGAAGCGTAATCCCAGCTAAGCGGATCCACCGAAGGAATCGACTGTAACATTAAACGAATATCCGTAGTAGGCCAAATGATATGTATGATTTGATATTTTTTAGTAGTCTCCGTTATTTTAATGAAAACAACTAAACACAGTTTTTATTCGATATCATTCATTATTGAGCGTGAATAAAAGAGGGAAATGGATGGAATAACGCGATAAGTGATTTTTTATTAATTTATTTTGCAAATTATTTTAGCTTATACGGCCAGGCCTGTTTTAAAACGACATAATTTTCGATTTCTCATCAAAATTCAGGAAAAACGGTATATTCAAAAAATAAGACATTGTTATAATTTGAGAAGTTTTTTGAAGGCTGTTTTGTTAGAAGTACCATTTTGATAAAGTTTTACCGGTATAATGATCTATCGAAAATTTCAATGATTGATTAATTTTAAAAGTTTTTAATAAATATGTTATCGAATAAAAACTGTGTTAACATTTCTCCCAATTCCTCCCACCCTTCAGCTTCTTACCCATCAATATTGGCCAAAAAAACAGAATTGAATACTGAAAAAACTGCAGGAATCTCAACTAAAAAAATTCAGAAAATCATTAGTCAAAAATTGTTAGTCAAAAAAAAATTAGTCAAAAATCACTAGTCAAAAATCATGAGTCAAAGAATAAAAAATCATGATACAATTTTTATGAGTCAAAAATCATGAGTCAAGTCAAAAAGTATGAGTCAATGAACATTGGCCTCATTTAAATGGTTTTGGCGGATAAGAGAAAGTGAAAAATCCAATCCTGGATAGAGCAATTTTAACACCCTAAAATCCTTAGATTTTTGTAAAAAAAAAGCACATATAGAAAAACTCACATTTGTGCTTTGAACAAAAAAGCGGAACTAAATAAAAGGGTCAATAATAGGTTTTTGGTCTTGCCAAAGAGGCGCGCATGCGAGATTTAAAACGTTATCCTCTGACAATAGAAATAAACAGAAAAAATATTTTTTTATGAAATCTCAAATTACAAAAATTTTAATATCATCTCAACTTCAACACAGATTATTTGATTCATTTATTTGGTTTTTGAAGATGCTTAAGAACTTCATCATATACTACTAACATAATAGCTCCTCCAGGTCCCAATCGAAGGCATTTTGGCAACAGTCCATGATATAACGTTTTGAATCTGAATCGAAGTTTGTAAATTTTGAACACAACAATTTCATGATGTACCCTTCTTCTCTACGGACTACTCGGATGGTCTGTATTAAAGAATGATATTTCCTTGAATTAGCATCCGGTTGCGGGCCTGAATTCAGAATTCGTGATTTTGAAAAACACAAATTGACCTTGTATTCGGCTTTTCGCAACATCGCAAGGAATATTGCATGTTGAAGCGAGTGTTCCTGCTATCAATCCAAGCAAAAACCTAATTCCAATACTAGGATTTTCTTCATTCGGCATCAAATAATCCATTGATCCGTAGTAGAGTCCAAAGTAAATCATATTCCATATTCCATGCCGCATCAGCGTTGCCGTTAATCCTCTATAGATTCCGTTGCATCCGATACCTTCACTTCGAATAATTTGAGCTGCGATTGACGGTACAGATCGTTGCTAAACTATTGAAAATCATCAATTAAAGTGGAATGTCTTCTCTCGCCTCACTCCGTTTCGTCAATAAATCGGACTGTAAACGAATTTTTACAACCTCGAATGGACAAATTATCAACGCTTCTGTGAATCCGGACAATAATCCAGCTGTGGACATGACTAGAGGAACTGGTAGATCAGTAACGAGGAGGAATGTTTTGTATTGTTCGAACGAGAAGAACTTGGTTGACCTTTTTGGGGTTTCGGCCATGATCGGAGCAAATATTCCTTTGTAGAATCCACCGATCCCTTCATTTTTCAATGTTGCCTGCATACAACTCAACATTGATCCGTAAACCTTATTGACTTGCATTCGTGTTTTAACCACATCCAATGGATACATGCATAGAACCTCAACCAAACCTATGACGATGTAGAATTCTTAGAATCGCCTGAACACTTTCACCTGCAGATCCTCCAGCTATCACCTGCTGGCACCCTTCCTTTAATTTTTGATTCATGACATGCGAGCTTTCGAAAATGATATCAATGTCACGCCAATTTTCACTAAATTTCCATTAATAAATAAAAGTATAAGATAGAATTAAAATGAAAACTGAATAATCGGAACATCCTATAATTGAATTTTTTTGTTTTAATTTGGGAAATATATTTGATTCTTCGCAAATAATTGAATCATTATTCTCAAGCCAATTTAAATTCGCTTTCACATAAAACCGCAAAATATTTTTCGTTCGTAGCGTCGCCCTCAATTTTATGCAAAGTCTCTCCTCTTCGTGTTGGCTTGCCGATCATCAAACACCTATCAGCGGTTGTGTTCTTTGCATTCGACGCACCAAACAGAAAACAATGTTATTTTTTATATATCTGTTTTTTTTTCGTATTCTTCCAGTTGCCAATTTGACGGTTACTTTCACCTTGCAACAAAGTTTGTCCTTCATCTCTAAACCTCTGCAAACAATGGGAATGTAATCCAAATTGACCAAAATTGCCACCAACTTGTTTGCACTTTTGTATAAACCATTAGCCGACATCCGATATTTTTCAAGTTCAAAAATTACTCAGGTTAGTTTCCATTAGGTAATTTGATATCAAAAATCATTTTAATGGACTCTCGTGTGCTCATATAAAAGATTCTTATCAGGTCTTGTTTCTCCTCGTTCCTAAATGTCATTCAATTTTGCATTGCTCATCTCTCAATGATTTTTCGTTTTTTTCTCAATTTCAATAAATTCTCCATTTTTTAGAATACAAATTCGAAATATACCAATTAAATTGAATTTTTTGTATTTTTTTTTTGAAATTAATTCTACATAATTCTAGACCAACCTTTTTTTGAAACATATTCAATAATTAATCCAATTTAAAGTGACAAACTGGTTTCCAAAATAATTCAAAAAAATATTTACTCTTATTTTTGAATCAAATTTCTACGTGAAAATTTCATTTTTATTGATTCACATTCTCATTTTTTGTCGAGGTATTCGTTTTCCATCTGTTTTCTTTTTTCCGAAGTCTTATAATTTTTACAAAAATTAAAAATAACCCAAGAGAATCATTAATGAGTGTTGGATTATACTATGAAATTTTCTGTTCAAAACCTTCCCCAACATTTGGCTCGTTAAAATCGAAACCATAATGAGATTTGAGCTTCTCATCGTGGGTAATGAGGCACGCAGCGGAATTTATTCAATTATTCGATTTGCCCGCCAACCAGTATTGAATACACGAATTCTTGACCTTGCCAGTCTGCCATAAAACATAATTTCGCTCTAGCTGTCGCTGTCGGCAGCAGTTCATCTCAATCGGCTGATGTTAAGATGATATATTAGCAAGGACACCGCAAAAAAATTGCGAGGCACAGAGCGGAGAGACTAGAAAAATTGCTGTCGAGCCGCAGGACCCCCTTGGTGTGAATATGAGTGAAATAGTGCGTAGGTTGCGGAGTCGGCATCACATGTGAGAATGACATTCATGCGCTAGAAGGACAAATCCTGCCTGCTTCTTTTATTCTCGTTTTGTTATTTGTTTCTTCTATTTTTATAATTGTCAAGAAATGAGTGTTTTATAAACCAGCAAGTTATGCGTTTTAAAATTGCTGCCATGACGACCAAATATGGCATTCAACTAGCCATTTTGTGCATTCTGCTGCCCATTTTGTGAGAAATTGCGTCTGTCATCGGAAATTATTTGGCTTCGATTATTCGCGTTTCTCGCCGCAAATGTTCGCAACAGTTTCCGAAAATACAAGTATGTTTGCTAACGTCTTCTCTACACCCCGTTTCTCACGATTCTTGTTTTTCCGACGCTCTTCGACGTCGTCATCCAATTTCAATTTTCAGGCGTCGAATGACATATTGTAATGCGTTTCCAGCGATTTTCCGGAAACGCGATGATGCCTATAACATCTGCACTGTAAGATTAACTCGAATAATAATCAATTGTTCAATTTCTGTTTAGGATGACATTAAAATTGCCCAAAATCCGAAGAAAACGCGAAAGAAATTTGTGGCAACTTTGTGCACTTTGATTGTCACTTTCCTGCTCATCGTTTTAGGAGTTCATATCATTTTCATCAATAAAACACCAAAATCGTCTTATGACAGGTAGAACTTTAATTTCTGAAGGAAACTCATATTTTTTACATATTGATTAAACATTTATCAACTTGAAAATATGCGGTGGATGTAGATTAAATTTTTTTTACATATTTGCGAAAAATTTATTTCGTTTGAAGCCAATTCAATTGACTGACTTATTGCTTCACTTCAACATATCGATTGCTCAGAGAAAAGCGTTGTGTTATTTTCACCGATTAATTTATTCTAAGTGGCCAAATATCGACAAATCTCATTCAGAAAACGCGATAACTCGAATATTTTATTAAGGTAGAAAAACAAATGTGGTGTCATGTTTTAATAAATAAAACATTCTTGAAAATATTTTTCATTCTTCCATCTTTTTTTTGAAGTAGTTTTTAGGTCCAGCGATGTTGAACTTTTGAGTAAGGTGAAAGTGTCGAAAAGTGCTCAAAAGTTGGCTCGAAGCGGGAAATTGATGTGTTGGGTGCAGACTTCTCCGTTGTACCATGATACTCGGGTAGATCACATTGCATCGTTTGAATTGTTCTCATTTCGAAATTCAGTCTTTGGCAATCAACGAAACATGGATACATCGATGCGATCATGGTCAGTTGTTCACTTCCGAAGAATTCGAAGACCAGCGGATTCCATTCTCAACGGTTTTCGCTGGAATTCCAGACACTTATTATAATTTATTCTTCAAAAGTCGATATGCATTCAAATACATTCACGATAATATCTCGAAGGATTTTGAGTGGTATATGAAGGTTTGTTTTTTTTTAATTCGTACAAAAACATTTGATTTTTGTTGTTTTCTCAATTCTAAGAAATTCTTTTCGTTTTTTGTGATCTTCAATTTAATGAAAACAAACGAAAATTGTTTACTAAACATATTGATTCTGGTGTAAACATTCATTATTTTCTGTCATCTCGTTTATTTCAATGCATAATTGCTTTATAACATTCATTTCAAATCGTATAATCGACGATTTTTCTTTTTTCTTCTCAAGAAAAAAACGAATTTGGGAGATTCTATGAGGCGTAAAAAACGAATTATGACCATAAATTATCCTTTTAAATTGGCATTGAGACGAAAATTATCCCAAATATTTAACTAAGGAATTATAAAATTTCAAACTCGCTAAAAAAACTTTTCAGGCAGATGATGATACATATGTTATAGTCGAAAATCTCAAAAAGTATCTCGACACATTGAATCCTGACGAACCGCATTATTTGGGATATGTCCTGAAGCCTTATTTGGTAATTAACATATTCTAATACACAACAATTCATTTGTGTTTCTCAGAAAAATGGATATAACGCGGGCGGTGCCGGCTATGTTCTCTCTCGGGCTGCCTTGAAAATATTTGCCGACTATCTTTATTCGAATTCGACGGCATGTCCAGATGATATTTATGAAGACGTCGGAATTGCTCACTGCCTGGAGAGCGCCGGCATTTTTCCGGAAGACACAAGAAATTCGAATGGGCAGAACAGATTTAACACTTTTTCACCGGCCGAGACGTTCCATCAACTGAAAGCTGACTCAACCTGGGTAAAATATAAAGAGAAAAATGTGAGAATTTACTAATTTATTTGAAAAAAAAAATAAACGAATCATGATTTTTCAGGGATATGAGGCATTCGCAAACGATTTGATATCTTTTCATCATCTTACACCCGATGAAATTCGATTATTCGACATTCTATTGTATAGAACAGACCGATTATAACATTCTATTTTTATTGTGACCTTATTGTGATATCAAAATGTCATTAATTTTAAGCTTTTCCTTAATTGTTGCGGGTATTTATTTATTTATAATCATTTTTTCAATAAATCGTTCAAACTCCGCCCATTACGCACACATTTCATACACAAGGGCGAAACCCGGCAAATGTCCACAGCGGCAGGCGTTAGTCTGCCTGCTTGCTGTTCGGCACGCAGGGGATGATGATTTTCTGTGTAGGAATCTCAATGAGCGTCTGTGATATAAAAATACAGTAAACTCTCTGACCCTGTGCAAGAAAACGTGGGAGTTGACGAATTTCTTTTGAATGCGTCGTTTATTCATCTGTGGGAAATAAGGGAGGCGCTTTTATTCATCGAATTCAATATTGATATCGATGAGGGAATGTATTGGCAAAGGTAGACAAATGTAAATATTCTTTGCTAGCTTCGTGTTCATTTTATACCTGGTGTATAACAATTTTGTGTACCCATATAGTAAGTGGCTGTTTCAAAATAAAATAAATGGTTCACGTGAAAACAGCAAAATAAGCGTGGCGAGATTTTTTCAAGGCGCATGCGCGTAAATCTACCCGCGTACAGCAGTCGCCGGACGCTTTGTATACACTTTAATAATTTATGTAGTTTTGCGAATGTTTATTATTAACAGAGAGCGAATTTAGAGGGGTCTTGGCTGAGGTGTATTCTTCCAATTCGCAATCCATTTGTTTTATGGGCAAATCTACGAATTTCGTCTTTGCGAAATTACTCAAAAAACTTATGCAACTCGTAGTGTGGGATATATATATATATATATCTGATTTCGACTAAAAAATCAAGCCTTTTTCAAGAAATATATTTCTTTAATAGATGTTGGAAAATGACGCATGAGTATTGGAGTCGTAGAATTCTTGCTACTTCTTATTTGCTGCTAAATACCCCAAACAGCCTACCGGAATTTTTCGGCACGGTAATTCAGTCGGAATTTTTGCACCGTAAAACATGCGAATCTTTTTTTTTTACATTTTTTGCCTATACCCCGCTTCAAATTAATGAGAAACGGCAACATATAAATTTATATTATGGATGCAATAAAAATAATAATGGATCGAATAAAAAGTGAAACCGAATGGAATGAAATATTTTTCAAGTTAGACATTATTTATTCGTATGATATATTCGTATTATTTATTGTTTCAAACTAAGCAAGTTTCTTCAAATATCCGAAACCGCCAACATAAAGTAAGACTATTGTAGATATCGAAAAAATTGACTAAATTCCAAAAAACAATTACAGTGGATAAGTGTAGATTTACGGCCTTAGGTATAAGAATAAATTACCTCACCTTAAATTTGTGGGCATTTTGTCAAATTTCCGCAGTCGTTCGAAAATCCCCCGTAAATCTACTCTGCTGTACGCGGGTAGATTTACGGGGATGCTCCTTTCTCTTGGTTTCGAACGGATTAACAAATTAGGCCAATATTTCTTCGCTACCAATTTTTCGCTCCGCTACCGGTTTTTCACTACCACATTTTCGCTACCGAAAACATAGTTTTTTCACTACCGACTTTTTTAAAGAAATTATTTCTTTTCAGTTTTATCTAATTGCTAGGAGCTGATAGAAAATGATAAAATTAAAAAAAAAAACAAAAAAAAATAAACGAAAATTAAGCGTTCACATGAAAACAGCAAAATAAGCATGGCGAGACCTTTTTAAGGCGCATGCGTAAATCTACCCACGTACAGCAGTCGCCGGACGCCGACTATAACAAACTAATCGAATATCAGAAAGTATACATGACAATATTGTATCTTTCTTGAGTAAAGTTGCAACAATGATAACGTTGAGGGTGTCGCTCTGGCGAATTTTTATTAAAGTTCCAACAATGATAACGTTGTTCATGAGTGTCATGAGTATGTTATTTGATACACGTCCACGTTTTTAAATTTATTTACTCTGATCATTTGTTCAAATATATGCTTTGTTTCGTATTCTCCTCACCATGGCAATTTAACAAAAAAAAACAAAATTTGCACTCGTATTGCCACCTTTCAAAATTGTTGGGGTCCTTTCGAGTTGCTTGCGATCATTTAGTCACAAACTGAATGCAGGGAGTCGAAAGAATGAAAACTCGCAATCAGCGTTTCATTCTGTGTCTCGCTCTCGTCGTTGCATTATCCATTTTTGCTATTAATAGGAAATTCGAACGGGTGAATCCATTCAACAATTTTTTTTGAAAATAATCTTTTTTTCGTTTCCAGAGTCCCTTTTATACTACTCTAGTAGACGACGTTTATGTTGTCCCAGAAGAATGTCTATGCAAGTCCGAAAAAACCGGCAACATTTATAATTTTTGCTACAGTAATCCGCAAGTAGATTCGAATTGACGAATTAATTGATTTCTCAACGAAATTCAGAATTCGACGTTACAAGGAATCGTATTCAATTGTTCGCATGTTGATTTTATGGATGATTTTGGTATGTTATAAGCAAATTGGTTCTTTTCAATTTGCGTGGGAATAAATTTTTTGAGTCGCCGCCATATTTGAACAAGGTTTTTTGCAATGCTCTAGACTGTTTGCACAGGCGGTCCCTGGAATGTTAAAAAATAAAACATTTCAGGTTTCTTTCAAAATCATGAAGACACCTTTTATGAAAATGTGCTCAAGGAAAATCGAAATGAAGAAGATGAAATATTTGTGACCGCTTGCTCAAACGATCATTTTTTGACCGGATTTGATCACGTAAAATACTTTCGATGTTGATTTTTTTGACAACATTCAGTTTAGTATAAAATATTTCGTCGATCGTATCCAAAAAATAAGGTGCTATTCTATGGATTAGACTTATCAAATAACCACCAAGAGAAGCTAAAAGTAAGTTTAATCAATTTTCAAAAATACAATTATACATATTTTAGAATGAAAAATATTTGGAGTTTCGCCAATTTAATACTTCAAAATATCCATCTTATGTTAAACGATGGCTAGATTATCGATTCAAACCACTTATTATTGCGGTAATACGATTAATTGTTCTAAATAATAATAAAAAAAAAGACGTTTAGGAAGTCATTCAAGAATATAAAAATATCATCTGGATGGATGCTCATATATTAATTAAAAATGCGAATTTAACAAATCTTGTGCATTCGGAACTCGCAAATAGTATTACGAACGATACTATTCCTTTGGTAAGGGGGAGAAGCTTCTGGGTTGCGGGTTCTTGAAATGATTTTGCAAACCTTTGAAAGCACTAATTTTTATTTTTGAAAACCTCATTAAAATTATTTTCTTGTTAAATTTGTGGGCCACAATAATTTCAAAAAAAAAATACTGTGAAAAAATACGGAAGGCTGTCTTGAAAACAATCACACAATTTGATTGATATTTTTTCAGAAATCTCCAATTTTGTTTTTTATCCATTCAAGTCATAGCAATTTTGCGACATTGGATCAAAGTAAGAAGTCGGCAAATCGGCAAACTTATCGAAACAAACAGAGGGATTTTCCTTTCTGTTCGGAGTAAAAATTTGAAATTTTGAAAGAAATTGTGACTTAAAAAGAGAACAATTTGGGTGTTTTGCTCAAAACGGCAAAACAGAGCAAACTAGTCGAACCCGAGTGAAACTCATGTCTCGTCCGATGAGTTTGCCGAGTAGTTCTTATTGAAAACATTCTTCTATTTTAAGGACTTCTCGATTTTTTCCCGACAATTTCTCTCGAGTTATTGAAAACGAAAGGAAAAGGAGATCAACTCGGAGCCAATATAATCTATTTATCCAGAACGAAGAAGACATTCGAAATCTTGAAATGGTGGATATTATGCGCGTTGGAAAAAGAATGCATGAATCCGGGCGATACAACGATTCATTGTCATTTCGACACGAACCGATTTACAAAATTTGCAAATTGCTTCAGGTATTCTATTATTTTAGCTCATTTCATTTTTAAAAATGCTAACTGTCAATTAATTTTTGTTCCGTACCCGACAATAGTCTACTGGCAGAAGTAGATGAGGTTGAATTTGCGGTACCAGTGCGGGACCACTCAAAAATTTGGCAGTAGTCGTTAGAAGTAATAAGAATTTCGTTAATGAAAAATGAGCAAATTATTTTCACTAGCATTCGTATATTTTGAGAATTCTAGGGGCATATTAGTGAGGAAGAAAATCTGAAATTGCCAACTTGAATATTATGGTACCGATTTTTAAAGAACTAAGAGTAGGCAATTAAAAGTTGAGATCATCGAGGCCAAATTTGAAACGCTTAAAAGTTAGGAAGTGGTCTTGAGCACGATTGAACGATTTTTAACCGAGTGGTCAATCTTGTCATGATTGACCACTCGGTTGTTTCGGGTTCATCACGAAAAGAGCCTTGCTTCTGTATACATCTGCCTACACACCCTATTGAATCAACACCTTTAAATTTCAGGAAAACTTTAAATATAGAACGAACATTATAACATACAATTTTGTTTTCAGATATGACCAATCCGTTCTCAATTTATTGTTGATTAATGAATATGGAGACTATCACAAATATCAATCCAAATATGGATATTTGATCAATTGAAATGTGATTTCTTTTTTTTGTTTCTTTACTTTTAGATGTAATTTGTTTCTGAAAAAAAAAAACTCTATGTCGCCAGGCGCGTTGCGGATCATTGATGCTAATTTATTGATCTCCTTTTTGACATAAGCTGGTTCCGGATACCTCCGGATTTCTCTGCGCATTCGTTATCGTCATCTTCAGAATCTGAAGATATCATAGTAATCGGTCTATGACTTTTTTTTCAGAAGCGCTTTACACATTGTTGGTAATTTTCAGTTTATCGGGTTCTTATTGTTTTATCAATTATTATCTATTTGTAATATGTTTAATTAAATGTTTTTTTTTTATTTGTGCAATTCTCAAAATTTTCTTTTTTGCAAGAAAACTTTATATTTAAATATTTGTTTTTCTTTTATTATTATTCAGCGATGTAAGAAATTGAAAAATGAAAGAATTTTTATATTCACAGAATAAAACCATAAAATTCTGATATCATTTATGAATGTGTTGGTTTTTTTTTGAAATTTCATCATAATGTATGCATGTAGCATTCAGAAACTTATGAAAAATCTGCGTCGGTTTTATTTTTTTAAAACAAACTCCAATCAGTGAGTTTTATTTCCGTTGTCCATATGCTATTGATTCATCAGTGAATAGTTGAAATCTCGATTCAAACGACGATTCTACGCTTCCGGTTTCACTGAACTTCCGTTAGAGCACACGACATTCATAATTTATTTCGAGACCACAGCAAAAATTCTCACATATCTCGTCAGGCGTTTTAATCAAAAAAATGTTATTCGTGTTATCCACTAATAAATCTGCCACATGCTATTTCATTTCGATGTTTGAATAATTCATTAGAAAAGAGAAAATTGGGAAAAATGATTTGAATATACGAATTTTCATGAGTTATTCCATTGAATTTCAAATTTGAAATGCATTTTCTGAAATGTTCCCACCGATTTTGAGGTATTGGGTTTGCAAAACATTTTTCTTCCAGGAAACAGAATGCACGTTCTCCGAATCATTATTTTCCACCCTCTCTCATTCTTCGACTCAACAAGAAATGTTTACCGCTTTTCTGAGTCAAGTGCTCGGCGCCTGATGCATTTGTTAAAAAACAGCATGCAAATTTCGTTAGTATAATTACATTCGGTTTACACCACTCTTGCGCCATCATCTTGACTTACTTCTGGATACCAGAAGTCAAGCAAAAATAGCGCATATCGGGATGAGAGGCCGTCGAAAAGGGCCTTTCGACGAGCTCAACGGCGCCGCCGCCGCCGCCGGCATCGTCATCGTGCGCCGCTGCCGCCTTCAGCTTATCGATTCCCCCCGCATTGTCTTGCTATGCCTCTGTTCGCTCAGCGATCGCCGCGCTCCATTGAGTTTGTTTCGCTGTCTGTGTCTCTGCCCGAACGAGAGGTGAATCAGAAACACACATTCATACACATTTTTCCTATACGCTATGTTTTATCCAATTTCCGCTCTTTTTTTTTTATTCTGATAATGTGAATTTCATTTCAGATCCCCTTTAAGTCGATCCATCTACTTTACAAACCAAAATGGTATTTACACAATTTTTCAATTGTTTGTTTAACTTCATATATTTGCAGGGTGCAGATGCTTCACTCCCAATGGAAATGTGCAGTAACTGTGAGTTTTACCCTATTTTGCGACCCAACTGAAATACCATTTCAGTCGATGCCTACGAGCTTCGAAGGCTTACTCGCCGATTCAAAAAGCTAGATGTCGATGGATCAGGTTCTTTGTCTGTTGAGGTAGTCATCTCGAAACATTCTATTTCATTCGAATTTTTCGATTTCAGGAGTTCATGTCATTACCGGAGCTCCAACAAAACCCTCTTGTACAAAGGGTAATCGATATATTCGATGAAGACGGAAATGGAGAAGTGGATTTTCGGGAATTCATTCAGGGAATTTCCCAGTTTAGCGTCAAAGGAGACAAAAACACCAAATTGAGATGTGAGTGAATTTCGAGTGGCGTTTCTTCGAAATGAATCCCATTTTTTCAGTCGCGTTCCGTATTTACGATATGGACCGAGACGGGTATATTTCAAACGGTGAACTGTTTCAGGTAAATTTATATTGGAACCATATTTTATGTAAATTTAATTTTGAATTTTTAGGTTTTGAAAATGATGGTTGGAAATAACTTGAAAGACTCGCAGCTCCAGCAAATCGTCGACAAAACCATTCTATTCCATGATAAAGATGGCGACGGAAAGATTTCGTTCCAAGAGTTTTGCGACGTTAGTAGTTTTTGTTTTTCATTGTGCCGAGTTTTTGATGGGAAAAATATATCATTGCTAATCCAAAATCCATCCGTTTTCGCCGAATCGTTGCCTAGCGATTAATCCGAATGATGTGCTAACAACATCGGAGCATTTTGTACACGCATAGCCGGCGAGCTACTAAAAACGAGTGTTGACTAATCGTACGAAACATTTGAAAAAAAAAAAAGAAATGGAAGAGACAAACGAAATTGCTTACAACGTGATTTGAAGTGTTGTTTTGTGTTCAGGTTGTCGAACACACCGAAGTGCACAAGAAAATGGTCCTCGAGAATATTTGAAGCAGCTCAATGACATTCTCGACTTGCTTAATCTGTATACATTTAATAATTATTTTCTCTCCATGACATTGCGAAAAAAAAAACAAAAATTAGTCTCACAATTTCATTTTTTTATGGAAACATTCCCATTACCATAACTGAATCGAACCGACCTAGTCTTCTTGTACATGCCATCTGTTATATTGATGATATCTTTCATTATAGTCTATAAAATTATGCGTTCTGTTCCTTTTTCTGCTTTGATATTTTGTGCAGTTTGATGTTCATCTAACAAATTGATTGATTTTTGTGTGCGTTTTGAGAATCGATTACAGAACCAATGAAATTGCAGGTTGTTGGAAATCTCGACATCCACGAGAAGATGGTCGTTAAAGTATAATTGTTACTCTGGTTTTTTTCTGTCGATCGTTGCTCTTCCATGCTATACATATAATTTTTTGGAAAGATTGTATTCAACGAGTGACTGGCTACGAGAAAAAAATGTGCAAACACGTTAGGAACAGGATCGGTGATACACATGCAAATATTGTGGAAAGATGAGTGTGAAGGATGGGCACAAACAAAACATCGCTTCATTTCTTCAATTATTCACCCTTGTTTAAAGCTTCGACTTCAATCTTTAATTAAAACTTGGCAAGCTCATCACAATTTTGCCTTTTTTAGTATTTCCTATTTGAAAACTCTGAAACGAAAAAAATAATGCAAAAACATCAAAAAATATTGTCGGCTACTGAAGAAAATATCGAAATTCATCGCCCCAAGACTTTTTACTCATTTTTGGCCAATTTTCCTCAATCACGCGACATCGATAAAAAGAGAAAGCGGATTACGGTAAATCGCTTATCGGGGAAACACGTGCTGGGTGCTTTCAGCAGGCTTTTATTAGAAACTGAGTAAAGTCAGCTGAAAGTCTGCATAGCCTTCACTGAGAATATCAAAGCCTGCAAACACCTTCAATAGGGTTTATACTTTCGTAATAAGGGTCTGCTGAAAGTGACGAGTTCCTTTAGTCGGTGTATTGCGAACCAGCATCCCACGATACGAGGACACTCCAACCAATATGCTAAAATTACTTTTAAATGCTCGCAATTGATTTCCAGCTCTGATTTTATTTAACAGATCTCAAGTGTTGCAGCAAAAAATGTGCAGAAAGCTTTGAATTTTAAAAAAATTCACGTTAGAGTTATCGATTTGGCATTCAAAAAATCTTATGACTACTTTAGAATACCATGTTTGAAATAGTTTTTCTTGAGAAAAAACGACTCTTGACGAGCAGGATCGGTCTAACGCTGGTAACACAAAACCAATCGAATCCGACAAAATTCGACTCCCGAATCAACCTTATCCGGTTGGTAATTCTTCGGATAAGATTGTAAAATTGTCGGATCCGATTGGTTTTGATTTACCAGAGATGCTGGTTGTGTTTCATAGAAAACACGATAAGCTACAAGTTGAAATAATTCATAGAAGCACATTGAATACTGCTCAGACATATTGCGTGATAACTTTTAATATTTCCACATAATTTTTTTCATACGCTGGAAATGCTTTTCAACGTTTAAATTACGCGCGCAATTTTTGAAATTTATATCGGAAAATATCAGGAATCGATTAAAATGTTTTTTAATAACGCGAAAGTATTCCTGATTGCATATACAGTACCGTGCAGTAAAATATACAATTTCACTTTTTTAATCATAACATTCTGAAAAGTTGACCAATCGATCTGAAATTTTTGGACAAAACGGATAGTGTGTTCCCAAACATAATTTATTTATTTTGGGATACTATAGACGCAATTTTTGTGTTTTGGACCTTTTTTGCGTATTTTCAAAAATGCGATTTTTTTTAATTTTTAAGTTTTGTCGATTTTTTTTTAGATTTTCAATGTTAACATCAGTTTTTTTATTTGTTTTAGCAGGAGACGATCAAAACGATCAAAAAACATTCTATCAGACGTTTTAAAGCAATCAAGGATGACCGAGCACAAGGTCTTTTCATCCAATGTCTATCACACCAGTTGAGCATCGACTTGGACCATTTGTGGATGTTTGAAACCTCGATCGGATTCCAAACCACTTGGAAATCTTTAAAAAACATCCCCGGCAATCAATCGAACAATTGTAAGAATCAGCAAGAGCAACCCGCGTCTATCCGCTTCCGAGATTAATCGGCAACTGAGACATTTCTATGATGTCAACGTAGATTTTTCCGAAAAACCATGACATTTTTTCACGAAAAGTCACATACAGATCATTGTTAATACTGTCAAGCGTCGTCTACGTGGTTCTGGATTAATTGGACGTCGGTCTGTCAAAAAATCTCTCTTTTCGGAGAAGAAACGCCGCGCCCGTTTGAAGTGGGATAAGGAGCTTTTGAATTGGAGGTTTCGACAATAGTCAAAGGTCGTATCGAGTCATGAATCGAAGTATATCTTGCTCGGAACGGATGTTATTACCTTTGTGAGGCGTTCGGACGGCAAAAGATTCGATCCAAAGCATCAATTACCATCAGTGAAACATGGAAGAGGAAGCGTGATAGTTTGGGGATGTTTTACTGCTTCTGGAGCTGGCCAACTTCGACTTCGTCGAATCAAAAGAAATATGGATCGATTTGCGTATAAAGACATTCTCGAGAACCATATGCTTCCGTTTGCAAAGTCTTTGCTCGGTGTGGATACTTATTTCAACAGAATAATGATCCTAAACTTTGCTCTCCCTTCATCAAAGAGTGGTTCTAGCAGCGTCGGGTGGCCGTCATGGTCTGACCAAGCCACTCACCTGTCTTGAACCCCATTGAACATTTGCAGGATGATCTTGGTAGACGTCTTGGTGGTCAAACTGTACAAAATGTGTCGAAATGATCGAGCAGCTGAGAAGATCATGGATGGATATTCCAATTTCAACCCTCCCGAAGTTGACGAGGCCATGGGTCTCCGATATCAAACTGTGATCGATGCAAATGACATGTCAACAAGATATTGAGTTGTTTTAAGTTTCCAGACAGATAATTGTTGCTTTCCATTTCATTTCAAGTCGTGCCGGTATCAAAATTATTCAAGTCGGTTTTTCGCAATTATGGATTTTCTGATTTTTTGCCAATAAAATTTTTCCTAATGTGTTTTACACCTTCTAATTTTGTTACATAATCACTCTATCGATGCTTAAAGTTGTCCAAAAATTTCAGATCGATTGGTCAACTTTTCAGATAGTTATGATAAAAAAAAGTGAAATTGTATATCTTACTGCACGGTACTGTATATTTTATTTTCCTTCGTTTTTTATCAGGAAGTTTAAATAAATTCGTTTTAAAAGGAGATTTGCGACTTCGTGAAAGAAGATAAAAAAAGGGATAAAAACTAAACCAATCCGTTTAAAGTTGCTTTTTTCAGTCTTCTTAAATTTTTGGACAAAGTAAATTTTACTAAAAGGCCGCCAAATTTCCATTAAAAAACCATTAAACCAAAGTGTGATTCTTCTGCTGAAAATAATTTAAAGTATTTGACGGATTTTTCATTATTAGTTTCCTTCCACGAAGAAAAACGGAAAATAGTGAAAATAACAGATTTAGTGTTTCATTTTGTTGTTTTATCAAATCGAAAAGATTATAAACGAAAGAGAGTTCAATTTCATGAAGTGATTCAAATTTAATCAAAATCAAATAGAATTTCATTTCTCGAAATCAAATTATATGTATTTCATATAAAAACATGTTTATCTTGGTAGTCCTTTTTGGTATTCCACCAACATTCGCTCCCAATTGAAGTCATTTTACCTCCCTTTTTCCAATTTTGAGGACACACTCAGAAGACCTTCTAGTTGGCATGATAAATCAGCATTTTCAAAAAAAAATATTAAGAACTCAAAAATGAAATTTTTGAAAAATGTCAGGAAAATCATTGTGTTCTTTTTTGTATTCGACCTTAATAAAGTTGAATTATAGCAATATTCTCATAATAACAACTTTTAATATTAATCTTTTACTTATTTTCTCATAAAAACCTGATTTTCTTTGGAATAAAAATTAAATACGTCACACACAGAATTTTCTTCGAATTTGCATAACTGACAAAACGCGTTTCAACGGAACCGTTTTTATTTGAAAAGAAGGGGGCGTCAGAAAAACCGAGTGGATCGAGCCGCAATCGTTCGCTTTGCTTTTTTTGGTTTGTTTGTTGTTCCTATTAATTTATAATCATTCCTATTTTGATTCCCATCTCCTAAAATATACATTCTCTTGTGGTGTGTGTTGTTCTCAAAACAAAATTGATGATGAGTAATGTTTTCCTGTCAACCATTGCCGCCACTTTTGAATTTCCACCAAAACATACATAAATTTGGAGGCAAAACCGCAGATTTGCGACGATTGACCTTGTCCGTTTTCTCACTTCACATCAAAGTAAACGATATAAAGAACTCCTTTTACCACATTGATTTTCTCGTTTTTTTTCTTTCTTAAAATATATTCAATTGAAAAAATTGAAGGTTTCATTTTTTATGATGTTCGAAACAAAATAACTATAAACAAATACAAAATATTGAGGTTTAAAACCGCATAGCTTTTATATTATATTTAACCTAGAACTTATTTAAAGTATTTTAAAATGTTGAAAAACAATATTAAATTCTGAAAGGTCGCAACTACGCATTTAAATCCAAATTTCGCATTCAAAATTCTCAAATTCCATCATCAATCACGCACTCGAAAATTTTGCAATCATTTTTTTTTTAAATGATTGCCAAAAACGTGCAGTCTGAATGATTACTGTAATTTATAAATGTCTGTGAGTTTGATTCGCAGGTTATTCAAAAATTTCCACCGATTTCTCGTATAATCGAGAAATCGAATTATTTTGGGAAAAAATTGGCTTAATTCTATTTACGATGAACTTTTATCGGAATGACAAAAATCGAAAAAAAAACTCATTCAAGGTGCAATAAATTAAATTAGTAAAAAATGAGTAATCATTTGGATGTTTCCATTATTTGAGAGGCATTGTTGCTCAACCTCGCACTTTTGTCTTCTTTCTTCTCATTCTTATTCTTCTTCTTCTTCTTCTTCTTCTTTGCCATTTTTGTTCTAGCGTAAGCCTAACTTAATCGAGAGTCGAATAGCCGAAAACGACGGCGCAACGACGAAATCGGCTGCGCCGCCCACAAAACATTCATTTTTCATCAACAATTTTTGTGTAGAGAGAGAGAGAGAGAGAGAGAGAGAGAAGAAGTCCCTCCCAAAAGACTGACCGACGAGCTACTAGTGGATTTTTGGTTGTGGCGGTCGACACTTTTCCGTCGCTTGTTTCGTTTTCATTTCATTCGACTCCGCAATTTTCTGTTTTGGTTCCAACAATCGAAAAAATTGACATTTTCGCTTAAAACCGCATATGTTATTAATGAACAATATGAATCACGGAAATTGGCCTTCCAAAAATGAAACGTCTCGATTTTCGTGATGCATCTTGTGAATCATTGGTGCCAAAACTCAACATAAGTGCCACCATATTTCACTTTTTTATTTTCTTCCACAAATTTTTTTCTCTGACAATTTCTGGTCGATGACGCAAGGACCATTGAAAAGTTTCGCATTTTTCGAGAAACACCACACCCGTCATTGTTCAATTTTTTGACGTTCGTTCCATAATGGGCGTGTCATTTCTTTTCATGATAATAATAATACGATCAGAAATTCGAACAATATATTAATTGTCAGTAATAGATGAGTAGCGTGTGAGGCTCCAAAGTAAGCCCTTAAATATGTAGCACCTTCTCATGAAATTTTTTTCATTTTTGTTCAAAATTTTAATAAATTAATTTCAGTTGGTATCATCCATTCGAAAATGCCGTTCGGTAGAAGCGAGAAGCATGCGAGATTCGGCGATTCGAAGTCGAGAATGGTAATCATTGAACGATGCTGTTCAAAACGAATTCTATTCAATCGTTTAGGAAGATCGCAGTAGAGTTCTCACAATGAAATACGGCAAACAGCAAATGGCACTTATTAGAAAAAGAATGTCGGTAAGTAGTTGCCGTTTCCGGACAAATTCCGCCCATTATTTAAAATAACCTCTTGGTAAATTTTTAGTAAATATTAAATAAATACGCGATTAGATTTATTAAATTTAAGCTCCGGAGTGTCCTTCTAGGAAAAATCATTTTAAGAATAATTAATTTGAATATGTTCGATTGTTTGTTCTTGCTTCTTTGAATGTTAAATATGCTCGAAATGGAGCCGAGAAGAACATTAAAATGAAATGGGAAGCAAAAGACATCGAAAAATGTAAATTAGGGTATTCGTCGCATTGGCAATTTTTGAAATGTTTGCTTTGTTGGTACATATACGAATGCTTTGCTGAGATAGCTTCAATAACCCATTATTTTTTTAAATTGGCAGATTGAAAATTGGATCGACGCGGAGGTGACGAAACTGTTCAATGGTAACGAGAATCATGTAAGCTTTAAAGTGTGAGATAACCAACTAGTCTTCTCATTCAGAAAGTCGAAATCGATCTTGACAAAATTCAAGACATCGAGGAGGTCGCAGACAAAAGGAAATACGCGTTTGTAAGCGATTCGAAATGTGTGTTGGCATGCTAAAATACTAGTTGATTCAGGAGCAACTTCAAAAAGCTCATTGTCCGTCCTCAATGGACAAAATTATAATGTTCCTGGATGAGCTCATTGTACAGCTTGCGACTCTCTAAACAGAACCTTATTTTTGTTCGTTATAATTTGTAAATATCTGATATACATATTTAAATGGATAAATGACCTCGAAAAGTGTAAAAGACGATGATAAATTTGCGATTTTTCGAAATATCTCATATCAAAAAAAACGAGATGGGATAGCAATAAAGAACGATGATAAAAACACTATAAGATCCAGCAAAAAATCGTCTAAGATCTCCGCAATCGATTATTACGCAAGATATTCGCCAAGTGCCTAATTGCTTTCGATGCCGGTTCAGTATAGTATGAGATGGCTTCGGAAGAAAAACCAAATTGAATGGCATAGTAATGCAGAAAGTGCTATGAATGTTTAACAATGATACAGATTATTCTCTGATGCGAAAAAAGATGGAGAATTGAATATTTGTAGCGTGATATTGATTTAATTGTTCCGATCATTTTAAATATTTATCTGTTTGCAAAATGTCTGATTCGATTTTAATGCGTTATGTGATTCTCATTTTGATAGGTTTTTGCGAAGGAAAGGAGGAGGTAAATTCGGAATTCATAGAATATTTTTCCAAATGAGCTATTTGAAGGCGGAACTCCTTACGAAAGATGTAGCAAACGACCTATTCAAACAGTTTCTACGAATTTTATGTCTTGTAACTCTCTGTTTACATTCAATCAGCATTGTTTCTTTTCTGGTTATAAACATTTTATATCTATATTTTTTATTATTATTAGTAAATGTTAGATAGGAGAATATGATGAATACGATTATTGGGAAGAATTTTACAGAAAGGAAGACTATCATGAAGTAAGTTGATTTTAATATACTATATTGAATGTTTATTGATCTACATAGGTGCCAACCGAGAAGCTCACAAAAGAAGTTGGAACTGAGGAAAATACAACAATTTCTGAAGTTAAGATTGGAGTAGTGCCAATTCCGTCTCAAAGGAATGATATACAAAGCGATCATGTCGCGACGAAATCGTCGTCAAATCACATCCCGGAAAATGTGAAAAAGATTGAAAGCAAAGAAAAAAAGAAGGTTTTTTTTTCTGATATTTTTTGACTCAAACTCGATGAAACGCGATATTTAGTCGATTATTCAAGCAATTCCAAAAGTTACGTCTAAAAACAGGACTTCAAAGTCAAGTGTTCGTCGTCGAAATTCACTTATGAAAGAAGTGAGCGCGAAATCGGAGAAGAAGGCGAATTCGGTAGATCATTATTTTTCGTTGATCATATTTTAGTCAATTGGTCAGATTCATAAGACAGTTAAACTACCACTACCTCCAAAAGATTTTCACGAGCAAGCAATTCGCGAACTTGATGAAGAACTCAATGATTCAATTATTGGGGAACCGAGAAGTCGTTTGGAAAAATAGAAACCCTGAATTCCTTTCGCTCATTTGTATGAATAAATCAATTATTCGAAACGAAATGTGTCGAAACTTCCTCAATAAGGAAAACCTGAAAAACTATCCCTTCTTCTCGCGAACACGCACGCACACACTGCCAATGACATTTCAATTTTCGCTACAAGCTGCCCGCGCCATCGCGTTGTAACATTTTTTCCTTTATGTCCGACCGCCCACTTAAGTGCTGGTATAAAAGCGAGGGGCGGCGGTATTCAAATCAGTTCTCTACAACATGGAATTCGAACAACGCATTAAGGCGTACCGCTTCGTCGCCTATTCGGCTGTGGCCTTCTCCGTGGTCGCCGTCCTTTCGGTCTGCATCACATTGCCAATGGTGCACAACTATGTCCACCATGTCAAGAGAACCATGCACCAAGAGGTCCAATTCTGCAGAGTAAGTCCGAAATTCACCATAACATTTGCTCTCGTCTTGTTATTAGGGATCTGCCAAGGATATCTGGTCCGAGGTCAACTCGTTGAAGAACATTGATGCTTCCCGCAACAGAACTGCCCGTCAGGCCTATGACGCCGGAGTTGAGGGAGGATCCCAAGCCGCTGGAGGTTGCGAGGCGTGCTGCCTTCCAGGAGCCGCCGGACCAGCCGGAACTCCAGGAAAACCAGGTCGTCCAGGAAAGCCAGGAGCTCCAGGACTTCCAGGAAACCCGGGACGCCCACCACAGCAGCCATGCGAGCCGATCACCCCACCACCATGCAAGCCATGCCCAGCTGGACCACCAGGACCACCAGGACCACCAGGACCAGCCGGAGACGCAGGAGCCAACGGAAACCCAGGAGCCCCAGGACAAGACGGAGCCCCAGGACAGCCAGGAAACAAGGGACCATCTGGGCAACCAGGAAACCCAGGAGCTCCAGGAGCCCCAGGACAGCCAGGACAAGACGCCCCATCAGAGCCAATTGTTCCAGGACCACCGGGACCACAAGGACCACCAGGACCACAGGGACCACCAGGGCAGCCAGGAGCCCCAGGACAAGACGGAGCCCCAGGAGCGCCAGGACCAAAGGGACCAAACGGAAACCCAGGACAGCCAGGAGCCGATGGAAACCCAGGAGCCCCAGGACAGGCTGGACAGCCAGGAAGCGCTGGAGAAAAGGGAATCTGCCCGAAATACTGCGCCATCGACGGAGGAGTCTTCTTCGAGGATGGAACTCGCCGTTAAACATTTCATTACTTTTTCCAATAAACATTCGTCTACTCAATATTTCCTATTTTTTTTTGCACTAATCAATATGTGAATCTGCAAAAATATGTTACAAGTTTTGTATTTACCGACACAGAATCTCTAAAGTAGCTCACACAAATTATCATGTTGGGTTTTTTAATATCACTCTAAAAACAAAATAATCCGCGAAGCCGTCAACGCCGTCTTCTCTTTTTAGTCCTTTTCCAGTTCTGGGTAACATTCGATTTATAGAATCTAACGGGTTAAATATTTCTATAGAAATTCCAAATATTTTCCATATTGTGCAATAATTGCTCGGTGTTTTTTGGATTAGGTTTGAACTACAAACATGATCGAAAATATGTTAATCTGATGCATGTGAAAAAGGTTAGACTCATCGATTTTTATTAGAGACATCACCACCATTAGAGAAATACTAATCATCAAACGTGAGAAGGCGGTTGATTCTCCACGTTTTTGAAAGATGAATCGATATGTACTAATTTTCTTAAATGGAATTTAGTACATACTACGGACAATGATCAAATGAAAGAGTCCAGGAATTCGTTGTTCATCTTCAGAAGGTCTCATTTTGTTGAAATAAAGAGTATCAAATAGATCGTGGGGAAATTAGCCACTAATAGGAAGCCTCCTAGTAGACACACGGAAAAATGCTTTTGCCAACAATATAATTAATAATATGATTTAGTTATTTGCTTTTTGTTCAAAAAAGGTAATATTGAGTAGACGAATGTTTATTGGAAAAAGTAATGAAATGTTTAACGGCGAGTTCCATCCTCGAAGAAGACTCCTCCGTCGATGGCGCAGTATTTCGGGCAGATTCCCTTTTCTCCAGCGCTTCCTGGTTGTCCAGCCTGTCCTGGGGCTCCTGGGTTTCCATCGGCTCCTGGCTGTCCTGGGTTTCCGTTTGGTCCCTTTGGTCCTGGCGCTCCTGGGGTTCCGTCTTGTCCTGGGGCTCCTGGCTGTCCTGGTGGTCCCTGTGGTCCTGGTGGTCCCTGTGGTCCTGGTGGTCCTGGAACAACTGGCTCTGATGGGGCGTCTTTTCCTGGCTGTCCTGGGGCTCCTGGAGCTCCTGGGTTTCCTGGCTGTCCAGATGGCCCCTTGTTTCCTGGCTGTCCTGGGGCTCCGTCTTGTCCTGGGGCTCCTGGGTGTCCGTTGGCTCCGGCATCTCCGGCTGGTCCTGGTGGTCCTGGTGGTCCTGGTGGTCCAGCTGGGCATGGCTTGCATGGTGGTGGGGTAATTTGCTCGCATGGCTGCTGTGGTGGGCGTCCTGGGTTACCTGGAAGTCCTGGAGCTCCTGGCTTTCCTGGACGTCCCGGTTTTCCTGGGGTTCCGGCTGGTCCGGCGGCTCCTGGAAGGCAGCAAGCGTCGCAACCTCCAGCTTGACGGGCAGTTCTGTTGTGAGCTACTTCCATGTGCTTCAACGAGTTGACCTCGGACCAGATATCCTTGGCAGATCCCTAATAACAGGACGTGATCAAATGTTATGGTGAATGTCGGACTTACTCTGCAGAATTGGACCTCTTGGTGCATGGTTCTCTTGACATGATGGACATAGTTGTGCACCATTGGCAAAGTGATGCAGACCGAAAGGACTGCGACCACGGAGAAGGCCACAGCCGAATAGGCGACGAAGCGGTACGCCTTAATACGTTGTTCGAACTCCATCGGGGAATGGATATCGCAAGTAACAACCTGCCTTTTTATACCAATTTTTTGAGATAACGCCCACCGAGGAAAAGGAAACGATAAGATGAAAATTTGATTTTCATTGGAATACGGAACTTTGCGAACATTTGAAGGTCGAATAAGGAGCGATGTTGAATGGTGTTGGTGGTGTTTTGTGTTAGGCAATTTGCCCATACGATTTCAAAGAAATATTGCACTGGGAAACAGCTTATGGAGGAAGCATCTTGAATTATTTATGAAAGGTTTAACTATGTACATATATAAGTATCGTTCTAAAAATCACAGTGCCAAGGCAATTTATAACAAATTCTTTTGAAGGAATTGGTGTCATTGATAATAAAATGCCGTGCTGAACACTTTTTTAAGTATTCATAATCAATTTAATTTAGTCAATGATATATGTATCTTAAAATTCAATTATTTACCACGAAAATATGCATTTAAATTCGTTGAATTTCGCTCATTCAATAAAAACCATTGCTCACATATATTCTTAAATCAATTTTGTAGTCCAGTAATTTGGAAAAATAATAAATAGAATTAGTGATTGCTGGTTCTTCTCATTCCAATCACATTGGGTGTCGGTAAAAATCTGTCAACTCTTATATTACCCAAGGTGCGCGACTACGAAAATCTAAACGTCAAAAAAAAACCAACAATGACAGCATTCTCTTAAATTTTTTGCCGTTTCGCCAATTTTCAGCAGTGGCGCGACGTCCAATATACAATTTCACTTTTACAGAGATGTAGTCAAAAAACGCAGTCAAAATTGAGACTTATTTTTTAAATATAGTAGAAATCAAAGATTTTTGAGAGACGTTGCTTGAGATTGAAATTTCAGCGCCATGACATAGTAATCATTTTCAATTTCGTCTAATATGAAATGCATTGAAAACTACAGTGAATACAAGGATTTGGGCGCAATGGAATTGCCGATTTCAGAAAACTTCCATTGCCGCACAGCCTTGATAAATATCAAGAATGCATGCAAAAATACATTCAATTCGCCCAGAAACCAAAACTTTTAAAAGCGATTGATCATTTAAATTTATCAAACTCGTTCGTATTCGTCTATATAGTCGGTCTCAGGCGACTGCTGTATGTGGGTAGATTTACGGGGGATGCTTCTTTCTCTTGGTCTCGCGCGGAACAACTCGTTATTTTGCATTTTATTGGTCGGTTCGATAATCTTTAAATTGGATGATGTTGCAAATTCAAGGAAATAGGAAACTCATCAAGAAAAAATAAACCGTTCACATAAAAAAATAAGCGGTTACATGTTGCGAGAACTTTTCAAGGCGCATGTGCGTAAATACCCGCGTACAGTAGGACGCCGACAATATATTATGTATATTTAACACCAACAGAATCACAAGTTTGCGTATAAACATATTTCCTTCATCAAAAATTCGAGAAACAATCGCATAAGTCGTTTTTTCGAGAGAATTTTTCGTATCATTGAAATCTCGGTTTTTTTTGGAACATCAGATCTCCAAAAAATAGTTCAAGGTGAGTTGCGTAGTTCTCATAAAAACGGTTGTTCAGATTTCTTATCTTTAAATTAGCGAAACATGGGGAACTGCAAATTCTTGATATTTGTTTTGCCGGTCTATTCATATAAAATATTTTTTCTAGAATATTCCGTTCATAGAATGGAATTCTATATAAAGAATATATCTCAATGATTAATTATTTTTGTGCAAAAAAAAATAGGAAATATTGAGTAGACGAATGTTTATTGGAAAAAGTAATGAAATGTTTAACGGCGAGTTCCATCCTCGAAGAAGACTCCTCCGTCGATGGCGCAGTATTTCGGGCAGATTCCCTTTTCTCCAGCGCTTCCTGGTTGTCCAGCCTGTCCTGGGGCTCCTGGGTTTCCATCGGCTCCTGGCTGTCCTGGGTTTCCGTTTGGTCCCTTTGGTCCTTGCGCTCCTGGGGCTCCGTCTTGTCCTGGGGCTCCTGGCTGCCCTGGTGGTCCCTGTGGTCCTGGTGGTCCTTGTGGTCCCGGTGGTCCTGGAACAATTGGCTCTGATGGGGCGTCTTGTCCTGGCTGTCCTGGGGCTCCTGGAGCTCCTGGGTTTCCTGGTTGCCCAGATGGTCCCTTGTTTCCTGGCTGTCCTGGGGCTCCGTCTTGTCCTGGGGCTCCTGGGTTTCCGTTGGCTCCTGCGTCTCCGGCTGGTCCTGGTGGTCCTGGTGGTCCTGGTGGTCCAGCTGGGCATGGCTTGCATGGTGGTGGGGTGATCGGCTCGCATGGCTGCTGTGGTGGGCGTCCCGGGTTTCCTGGAAGTCCTGGAGCTCCTGGCTTTCCTGGACGACCTGGTTTTCCTGGAGTTCCGGCTGGTCCGGCGGCTCCTGGAAGGCAGCACGCCTCGCAACCTCCAGCGGCTTGGGATCCTCCCTCAACTCCGGCGTCATAGGCCTGACGGGCAGTTCTGTTGCGGGAAGCATCAATGTTCTTCAACGAGTTGACCTCGGACCAGATATCCTTGGCAGATCCCTAATAACAAGACGAGATCAAATGTTATGGTGAATGTCGGACTTACTCTGCAGAATTGGACCTCTTGGTGCATGGTTCTCTTGACATGGTGGACATAGTTGTGCACCATTGGCAATGTGATGCAGACCGAAAGGACGGCGACCACGGAGAAGGCCACAGCCGAATAGGCGACGAAGCGGTACGCCTTAATGCGTTGTTCGAACTCCATCGGGGAATGGATATCTCAACCGCAGGCCTGCCGCTTTTATACCGCTTCGCAAGATTACACAACGCGCGCGACGAGGAAGAGAAGAGGAGAGAAAGGCAGTTAAACAGGTAGATGCATTCCGTCAAAAAGGCAATTTCCAATTTGTACGATTCTAGTCGCTGATTAATTATTAAAACCTTCGATGATTGCTATTTTTCAATCACATGCATCAACATCAGGGAACTATTTTCAAGTAAAAGTTGATTGAAACCGTTTGTTTCAGAAACAACTATTCATTGGAGTTTATGAACTTTATAAATTGATATTTTCCAGCACAACATACATTCATAAGTACTCACAATTTTGCTATTTTCTTTCGGTTTTACAATTTTGTGGTCAGCATCACTCGTTTTTCCCTTATTCCAGACGCATGATTCAATGACGAACAAAAAAAGCATCGGATTACGAACATGACAAATGAATTATCTCAGCGATATTTCTAGAAGATGCTGAGATCAACAATGCATCGACGTCATCATCGAAACTCGAAAAAATTATTTACAGGAATCTGTTCCCACGAATGCCTATAATTGAAAACAATTTTTAACGCTTCTGAGTTGACTGTAAATATCAAATTTATCAACAACAACAATTGTGGGAATCACTGATAAAGAAATAAAATGGGAACAAATATTCAAGAGAATTTAACTCATTTTTGAGTATTCGAAATACAATTCCGCTTCAATACCGTCCAAAATTTCCAAATTTTTTGAAAAGGACTTCAATTGTTAAACGAAAAACACAATGATTAGACGATTAACATTTATTAATAATAATTTAGTTAGCATTATTAACTGTTGAAACCATTGACGGATTGACTGATGCCACGTCTTTTGTTTGAATTCCCAAAAATGAGCGAACTTTGTTGGCGATATACGATCTATATGGAGTGACGAAGCAGAATGACGACATCGGACAGAATACTGGAATGCACAGCGCCACAGAAGATGTGAAGAATTCCAGAAAGGGAATGCGGATAATGTCGAATTGTCCCAATACGAATGAAAGAACAGCAATGAAATAATAGGTTGGGATCATGGATTGATAGGTGAGTGACTTCAATATTATCAGTTAATATTAAAACTTAAATTCGTTTTCATAATTTACCCAGAGCAATTGAGCATGCTTGCTTCTTTGACTTTTCGACATCTGACTTCCTCTTTTCTTCAAATTCGACACAGTTTTCGTTCTAAAGAAGATAATGGTGCTGTAGGCAACCGACACCGGAAGCGTCATGTGCAGAACAGTGAACATCGCCGGGAAACGGTGGATGTCGAGTGTGCCAACGACAATTCTTCCTTCGATATCGTAATCAGGATGCGCTTTAACAAGCACTTGTCGGACCTCATCGGGATCGTCATAAGCGAATAAATAAAGAATCTGAAAGGAATTTAATAAAGAATTAAAATGTAAAAAATGTAATACCAATTGGAAAAATGAGATTGGGTAAATTGACGCAACAAGAAGGGCCATTTTCTTTTTGGTGGGAGTTGGATGGAACAAAACGTAGTAGCGGTAGACGAAGGAGAGCAAAAGACCCCACAAGCAGTGCGAATACCAATGAAGATGGATACTGTACCTGAAAGAAAAAAATCAAAATTTAATTGACAACCATTGAAGATGTTACCAAACGTGGCAAGCGTATGGCGATATCTTATTGCAAAGGCCATACGGAATATGAGCCAGGGTATTACCGAGAGGAATAAGCCGTTGTTGAACGAAAAAGTTGGAAAAGCAGATTGAAAAATCCGTAATTGCAAAGTTGATTGAGACAACAGTGAATGTTTTGATGGCATCCGGGGTATGGTAGAGACATAGATAGGTTAAAAACACGCTGAAACAGCATCCAGCCAAAGAGAACGCATAGTGATAGATTTGAAAGATGAGAACGCTGATCGAATCAGCCGACATTGCTCTGGAAATTGTGTTCGAATTTTTCCTTTTTATACATTCGTGATTTCTTTTTTCACACAGTCCGAAATGAAAATAATTGTATGCGTTTGTTGTTTTTCGTTTCGTTTTATCACAAAAAATAACTGGAAAAAAATGTGAATAATAGATATCGAATGTTCTTCAAACGATTTTCGATTGTAATATTTTAGAAAAAAAAAAAAACAATATTTATCATGACAAATATTGTGATAATACGATTGAGTTAAGACTAAACGGTTGGTTGAGCAGACTTACCTCAACAAAAATAGGAAAGAAAAATATCGAAATTACAGCTTCAATTTTAGTACACATCTAATTTTTGCTGATAATAAATATTATTATCTATAATAATAAGGGGTATGTTCAACAGGTGAATATAATTTGTCGCATAAGCAGATATGAAGATGATTATTGAGAAGGCAATAATTATTTTTTACCTAGAAGTTGTTTGTTATCATGTTTTTTTTTTGCTCGTGGGTTGGAGCTTCCAAAGATTGCGGGAATGCTTGAAGAGGCAGATTTAAAAAAAAAAAACTCAAAAAATTGACTGAAACTTTTTGCGAAAACTGGCCGGAATAATTAGAATAAGAAAATATAGAACATTTATTCGTTTCTAATGAAATGTTATACGTATTAATGTTAGTTCGAGAAGTTTCGTTCTGGCAGCACAAGCCTTGATCATGAGAATCATGGTGGTCATTGACAATGACCAATTGCGATTGCTAGTGGAAGCAGATCAATGTACAACTGTTTCAGCTATTGCAGAAGACCTCGACGTACATTCCTCAACCATTTTTTCGACAAAAGATTGCCACACGAATAGAATAAAAAGAAGAAAATGACGATATGAGGTGTCATCGCTTCTCTTCCGGCACAAGAAGATTAATTCCGTTTACGAGAGTATAATAACTTGCGATGAACAATGGATCTTCTAAAAAAATAGTTCGGATTACGATGGAGCTCCAAAGCATTTAAAAATGCAAAAATTTTACAAACAAGTTTATGCTGACTGATTGCTGGTCTCATCCATCAAAATTTCCTGAGTCCTGGTGCAACAGAGAGGTACTTCCAGCAGCGCTCAAATTTGGAGAAGGGGTGGCCTTTTAATTCTGCAACACAGTGTATTCTTTTTTTACAACGGTATCGAGATGGTGTGTCGATGCCGCCTCAACGAGGGATTCATTGTGCTCATATAATTTTCTTCCATTTTATTATAATATTTTCGTAGCCAGAATTGTGAATTTTATTACTTTTAATACTATTCGCGAAAAATCACACTGGATCTCTCGAATTTCGAAAAACTGGATACTGTGGAGGCTCGGTGTTTGCGGACGCGGTGTTCATCTACGCAAAACAACATACGCCGCGTTGGTTTTTTAATTTTGAAAATTTATTTTTACGTGAAATTCTGTTTATTTGCAATAGTAAATTAAATGTTTGACTTATTGACGTAACGTATCTTTCACCCAAAATGTAAAACATTACACTAAATCTGCAGACAAGCATGCTTTTTAAAATTCTTTCATTGAAAGAATTTGTATTTTTTTTTACATTTTTTTATTTCAGGAATATGTTCATTAAAAAATATTTTTAAAAATCAAATTTTCAGGTAATCATTCTTGACAAATGAGGGCGATTTTAGTATTAATGGCGATTGCATTAACAGCGAATGCACTTCGCTTTTATGTAGGACCGAAAGAAAAAAAATGTTTGAAAGAGGAAATTCATAAGGTGCTTGTTTTAGCTACGAACATTTTAAAGAATAATTTACAGAACGTTGTTGTGTCTGGAGAGTACGAATATTCGGAAGGAATTCAATACACCGCTTCAATTCATGTAAATTTTATAATTTTTGTATTGTTTTTCAATTTTTTTATTATTTTAGGTCACTGATACTCGTGGGCATACCCTCTACAAACGCGAAAATTTCAGTGATTTGAAAGGAAAGTTCGCCTTCACTGCCGACGAATATGATATCTTCGAAATTTGCTTTGAAAACCACCCACCAGCCGGTATTTTTTTTTAATTTTTTTTTTGTTTTTCATTAGCTTTAAATGCATAGGTTATCCTGGTGAGAAACGCGAGGTTTCCCTTAGCTTGAAGCACGGTGTTGAAGCTAAAAACTATGAAGATATTGCCAAGGCTGAGAAACTGAAACCCCTCGAGGTAAGTGTCGGAAATTAAATAATATCAAAATTAATACTATTTTAGGTTGAACTTCGTCGGTTAGAAGATCTTGCAGACTCCATCACTAAAGATTTTTCTTTCATGCGAAAAAGAGAAGAGGAAATGAGAAATACTAATGGTAAACATTTTTATAATCATATAAATATTTTAAAAATGTATTTCGCTTATTTATTAAAATTTATAGGCCCGTTATTTATTGATTTCGTGAATAATAATAATAGTTTATTGATTGCAGAATCCACCAACAGTCGAGTTTTGTATCTTTCAATCTTCTCAATGCTCTGCTTGCTCGGTTTGGCCATTTGGCAGGTCCTCTTTTTACGCAATTATTTCAAATCAAAGAAGCTTATCGATTAAGCCAAATCTTAGCCAAATTAGTCGTTTTTATGTGGTTCCCATTGTCTCCCTTTATTTTTGATGATTTTTCACCATCACCAAGCTTCTAATTCGATTTTTAATTCAAATGTGAAACTGGGTAATTTATTGTGTATTGTTTTCGTAATGCCTTCATAATTTATTTTTGTTCTTTTTTGTTTCGTTTCTTTCTCCGTTTAGCGAATAAAAGCGAAATACTCATTTTTCTTCAATTCAATCAATCGATTGCTTGCTCTCCTGCTTGTTGTTGCTTTACACTAACGGTCTGCGTCTCGGCGAGAAACTAAGGGAGCAGTTCAGATCAATTCATTTGTTACTATTGATTAGTTCATGGAGCTAAATCCACTGGAATGTATAGAATGTCAGAAGGTTGGATAGTTTCTGTGTGATTCTTGAAACTTGTTGCGTATTTTAGGAAATTGAGAATCCCATTTTATTGCAATGCCACCATACAATTTGCCGCAAATGCCTTCCTTCGGCAGCTCCAAACGGGTTGTGTCGATCCTGTCCAGCTCAAAACCATACGAAACCTTATACTCCACATACGGACAAACTGGCAGCATTTTTACTCGATGCCTCGAAAGAAGCTATGGATCAGTGCGCAAATTGCGATCGAGTAAATCTGAAAAATTCTTATTTTATTTTTGCTTATTTTTACAATTTTTAAGGCAAAACCTTCAATGTTCTATTGCGAAACGTGTCAACAATCATTATGCATAGATTGTCGACAAATAACACATCAAGTAATTTCACCTTCAATTTCTGTTTTTCAATTGCCTAGATGAGCCGTAGAGAATGAGAACGATTATATTAGAAGGGAAAAATACAAACATAACCACTTTTATATATCAAACAAAAATTATAATACCATGACAAAAAACGAGCACTTTGAACAATTTTCGGTAATTCAAATTCCGATTTATGTAGTACGACTTCGGGTACCGTACTACGGATAACCAGCGAATCAAACTCACCGTAAACCGACACAGAATGCACGATTTTTTTGCGGCTCTAATAATAAAATCAATCATTTTAGGCCAAAATGTTTGCTTCACATAAAATTATCAATAATGAAGAAAGAAGCAAAGTTTATGGAAGTAGTACGTGCAAAGAGCACGGTGAGCCGTATATCTTATACTGTTCCGATGTTCGAAAACTCGTTTGCATTCAATGCTTTAATGGAAGACCAATGGAAGAAAGACATAGTTTCATATCGATCGATCAGGGACATCGATTTGCGGTTGAGAAAATCGAGCAAGCCGCTGCAAAATTGAGATTCTATCAATCTGAACGACAAGAAGAACTTTATGTTAGGAAAAAACTGTTGGATGAAAATCAAGCGAATTTCGAAGAAGCGAAAAACGGGTTTCATTTCAAAATTTGGAAATAAAGTGAATTTATGGTGATGATATTCAGAATTTATCAACTATGTCAGCAAATTATTGACACTGTGATGGCAACGCGTGACAAATTGACAAGAAATTTGGAGAAATGCAAAGAGGAAAGAAGTGAGATGTGCTCGAAGCAAATTGCTGAAATTGAGGCTTTAATGGTATTTTTTTAATTATAAGTTTCATTTTCCTTTTGACATTTTAAGCAACCTGTCCGACTTTGTCTACTTTCATCCCAGTTTATGTGTACAACTGCTTCAAAACTTGATGTATTACAACTTAACGGAATTCTAATGAAAAGAATTAATGTAAGAATCTTCTAAATTAGAATTCGTCTTTATTGAAATTATTATATTTAGAGTATTATGGATCGAGGCATTGACAAACTTCCAATAACTAGCACTCCATACAACTTGGAAGTTCGGACGGAAGTCGCGAAGGCCCTCGAACCTTTTCTTGGTTTATCAGCGGCTTGGTGTCCAATAAGCGCTAGAGAAACTTCTAGAGAAGGAAGTTCTTCAAATTCTTATAAGCGAGGAGCTGGATCGTACCCGGTTTTGAGCAAAATTCAAGCAACTATTGATTTAGCCGGTGCTTTTGGACAACTTTTCGGAAAAGTCGAACGTATTCTTTTTGAATTATTGTACAATTAGTTGATTGTAATGTCCAGATCCTGTTCGCCAACTAGTCACGGAACTTGCTGTAACCGGACAACAAGTTCTAGAAATTCAACGGGATTTAACAACTCGAAGATGCATTATTGAAAGCGATGTCGTCGAAAAACTGGTAAAATCTTGTAAGAAGATCGAAACTGATCTCGGAATGCATTCGGCTGCTCTCGATGGAATGCAAAGCGAAATGCAGGAAATTTGGCAGGAGCAACTCGACCGAGTTCGACGCCAACAAATCATTTATCGCGAAAAGGTTGAAGAGATTCTATCGCTTCGGGAAACTGCTCGACAAATCTTGATTTCATCGAAACAAATCGCACCTTATGTTTCATGCATTTTGAGCATGAACGCGATGATTGACCCAAAGTATGATTTCCAAAAACTTTTATAATATAATAAAATGGATATATTTGAGACGTTGTCATCCACCAGATCCCGCTCCGATGGAAAGTATTTGTTTGGAGATTAGTGGAATCGAACCGAACAGTGCTAGCAGAATTCAAGCAATCGAGAAAGAAGAAGAGAATCGACGACTGAATCAAGAAGCGAAGAAGAAGGAAGAAATCGCAGAACAGAACGCCGTTGTGAAATCGCTAAAACATGGAAAAACTAAGAAGAATTGCCAATTTCGATTACTAGTGAATACAAACCGCGAAAGAAGTCCGGGTGGAACTGATGGAAATTTGATTAGCCCATGCATGAAACGGTTTTCTTCTAGTACTGTTCGCGAGGAGACGAATTCGGAATTAGACGCTGAGGAATATCTTGATGAATCATTTGAACTCAGCGTAGATCCAAGTGAAGATGCTGCCGATGGAATTTTAATGGAAGAGGCGAGATGCAGCTCGGCTCTACTCTTGTCCATTGAACGCCCATCTTCTGCTGCTTCTCTTCCTTCTCTCGATCAGCTTCTCGGTCGAGCACCTTTGGCAACAAGAGTCACTCAGAATGTTGGGTTTTGTCGCGATGCCATGCTTCAAAGTCTAAATGATGTCTTCGCACAACAAAAACCGCCAACACCGGAGAATATAACGGTGTCCGAAGAGAATAATGTTCTTGCATCGGCGGTTCGAAATTCAGAAAAGCTGAAAAATAAGGACTCGACTGGAGAATCGTTAGAAATTTCAGATGATTTTGGACCAAAAGATGTTAAAAGTAAGGGAAAAGTGGTAAGACAACGTAATTGTTAACATTTGATAATATGAGATTATTGAGGTTCGTCGTCGAGTTAAACGGAAGAATCATGAAGAAAAACGTTCTAGTATCGAAGGAGATATCGAACAATTCGAGAAACCAATGAGCGCCCCTCCAGCAGTCCCATATGTTCCACAAGATCTTCTTGATCATTTCGGAGATGAAAAACTTGGATCTTTTGAAGCAAAGGAAAGGATGCTGCAAATGTTAAAAGAAAAAATCCGAATGGAAAAGATCGACGCTGAGGATTCTGAATGATAATTACCTAGAAATAAATTGTTAATATTCTCAATGAAATTATTGATGTTTGCTTTTCACGTGTTCAACCCATTCATTCTTTCATAATAACAGCTTGAACTGAACAGTACGAATCCATTATAACCAACAACAAGATGGGCAGCATAAATACCTATAAAATCGTCGAGCCGTGTCGTTGACGATTCGCGCTTTGCATCCTCGACAACGCGAATTCTGGAGAACACCGGAACGTATTGTTTGCATAGTAAAACTGTTAAACCATATCCGGGTCGAAAAAGTGGGAGGAGCGACGCCCGACGGCGAGTCTTATTCACAAATATTAAATTCAGTTGAAAGAATGCTGTCAGTAACTCGCTGCACGATTTTTCTCATATTCTTGAAATTTGCAATTGCGTGCAATGATCAAAATGAATCGGCAGTATTCGTGGTGCCGAATGGCAGAAAACTGCCAAGTTCTTCTGTGGCTTGTTTCAATGTATGTGCGCAAGGAAACTGTACAGGTTTGTGAGTTTAACGTTCAATACACATCACAGCTCTGGCAGTTTTTGTGTGATATTTAGTTTTTCGTCGTTTCAGGAATTTTACTGAATGGTGACAAATGTATAATAATTGATACATCCAATTATTTTGGGAAACTAAATCGAGACGATTATGTAACGATGACATGTATGAAAAGTAGGAAAATACATAAGTTCCGAAATCACAAACACAAAAAAAAACATTTCAGAATTGCCTAGAAAGATTGTGGCATTTGAATGGAATGATAGGATTCTCGTTGGTCAGACCCAGCGAATTTTGCAGACTCAAGACAAAGTGCAATGTATTGCTTCTTGTGCGAATGAAAAAGACTTTCCATGTTTATCGGTGATGTATTATACGACGACGCAGGATTGCCTCTTGAATTCGGCGTCTTCCGCTTCAGCGTCCTTGAAAATGGATACCGACGGGGTTAGTGTCTCTTACATGGAACTCAATGGATTGAAAGGTGACCATTCTCATGGATTATACAGATTATGGAATTATTTTAAGATCACGAGAATTGTTTGGATGCTTACCGCATGATTGGCTACGATGAAATCGAAATCAGAGGAGAGGCAAGAATATTTGATGGATCGTCGGGATTTGAGAAATGCATTGCTAGATGTGATACTTGCGATTTCGTTATTTTCAATGAAATCTATTCGGAGTGCTTTTTGGTTGAATATGATCCAGCTGGACAAATTTTGGATTACATAAATGATGAATACCAGGTGAAATTGTCGAAGCATTCGCCTTTCAAGAATTTTTTTAGGTGCTTACAAATGCATGCTCGAATTATCGTAAAAATTGCAATGCGCAAAACTCGTTATACATTACTTATTCGAGGACTAATGAAATAATGAAAGCGAAATGTCTCGAAAAGTGAGTCTGATAAATTAATTAAATATGTATTATTTTATTTTCATATTGAATCGAATTCTCTATATATGAAATGACAGATGCACAATGAATGAAAGTTGTCGATTCGCATATTCTTCGCAAAATGGTTCCGATTGCATATTGTCACGTAGGAAAATGGCTCTTCCTTTGGTTACTCAACGAATTTGCACAAATATTGATGATCTACCCGATGGTTAAAAAAGCAGAACAAAACAAATATAGTAGTGGAAATTTAGGTTCAGCGATATTGTTCGACGAAGTTGGAGGATGTCCAACAACTTTGGAAGGCGATCAAATATCTCCGAAGGTGGAGCTTTACGAATGTATGGAACTGTGTGCTACTCACCCAACACGAAGGTTTAAATATATCTAAAACGAGCAAAACAAGTATCAAATTCAATTATTGCAGTTGTGAGTCCATATCATATCGAAAAAATACAAAAGAATGTTTTTTACATAATGGAGAAGTCCACACAGGTTTGATTATTTTTATTTTAGTATGCCTTTCAAATTAATTTGATTAATGAAAAAAATATTCAGTATCGCAAAACAAAACTTGCTCAACATTTTCTTTAAATGTTATCGCTTTTGAAATGACTGGAAAAGCACCTCCATCACCATTCGAAACAACCAAAAAACCAGGATATTCGAAGCCGAAATTTACGCAGAAGGCAAAAACATTCTCAGCTACTTCATCAGGAATCAAGAAAATTGACGAGAGTAAAATGACTTTCTGAAAATATTCAACTTTGATAATGCATTACTTTTAGAAAAGTTGTCAATAGAAAAAGCTTTTAAGAATCAATCGAAAGCCTTGGCAGACGTCAAAATTAATACGCAATGCAATATTGGTGATATTACGTTGAAAGTTTGACAACTATTCTGAAAGCGACCATAAAAACGTGTTTAGATTAAAACATCGAATTTACAAAATGGGGAAATTTATGTTCGAAATGCCCATGAAAATTGCTCAGCGAACATTGATGGAAATGGAGAAGCGACACTTCGTGTCAGGCATAATAATTCAGCCTGTCCGATTAGCCAAAATGGGAATCAAATGGAAATGATTGTTGTTGTGACACAAAATGTTGGAGAGGCAACAGTTATCACGATCGATGATCAATTATTCAAAGTGCGATGCAATTATTCAAATCAGAAGAAATCTTTGGTTGTATCGAGCACTATGAACTTGAGAACTACAACGTATTCGAATTTGGGATTGACAGGGCGAGTGAAAGTGAAACCGATGAGTATGGAGCTTAGATCTAAAAGAGACATTGTAAAGGTTTTCAATAGCATTGGAAAAATAAGTAATTCATCACAATTTTCAGGCAAAATTGGTTCAAATTGGCCAGAGCCTCGACCTTGTATTCAAATCAGAGAGCCCATCGAAAGATTACTTTGTGAAGAATTGTGTAGCCATCGACAAAGAAGGGCAAGAATCCATTCAGCTGATTAAAAACGGGTAAGGGTAAAACAGCCTCAGGAAATCAAACCAACAAGGGCGGTTCTAATCACAGTACTCAGCTGACACGCATGAAAAACATCACTGGCATTATTGTTAACTTGAACACTCGCGCAATGAGCGCACGCACATCCACTGCACCACAGCAGAAGGTCGGCCGGCGAGTGAAATGTGCGATAGACGTGTGTTGCGACATTGCAGGGGGGGGGTCAAAAAGAACAAAAGTAATCTCACTCTTTGCTTAGAATTTTTAGATGCGCTAGTATCAATGCTAAGGAATATGTACTACGTGGTGAGGTACTTTATACTAAAACCGGATTCTCATTGCCATTCCGAGCATTCCGATTCAAACAAAGCGAGTCGGTTAGAATTGAATGCGAGATAAAATTATGCCGGAAATGCAAAAAGGTGATATTTCTCTTAACAATGGAATTAATTTTATAATATTGTAGCCCAATTGCAATTTAAGAAATCGACGAAATATCAATGAAATGGAATATGACAGTGGAACTTCAACTGAAAATGTTGAAAAAGTGCTCGCCGAATTATTGGTTAAAGGTTCAATAGAATCAAGTTAGTTCTTCTCTAATGAACATTTAAAGTTAGCTTAATAATTTTTGCAGGCGCAAACGATTATTGTTTAGCTACAGGACAAATCATGATAGTAATGCTAATTCTCGTCATTATTTTTGCCATTCAGTTTTTAGTTTTGTTTTTCTTTTGCTTTCAAAAATGCCAACACAAACGCGTAGAATAAGTATAACAACAACATTCAGAATATAATTAATAAAGAGAAAATTAAAAACTGAACAGAAAATTTAAAAAACTTGACAGACGATTTTTGAAGTTTAGTTGTCATTTTTGCGGACATTGCACTACAATTGACGCACTTCCTCGAAATTTACTTTTCTTTTAAAATTGATTATTGCTATTGAATAAACAAATAAGATGTTTCAATAGATTTTCATTTACAGTGTTATTTTTTACCGTAAAGATATAACATTTTTATTTTGTTTGTTAATTGTGCTGGTCACGTAGTTCGCAGACAAAAAAAAAACAATATTTTTTTATATATTAATTATTCTATTTATTTCTTTTATTTATTTGAGTATATATATTCGAATCGAGTCGTTTCAATATTTTTCAATGTTTTATTTACATCGGAAACATTTCGAATGAACAGTTGATTTTCACAGGAAACCAAGTGTTCGACGGATTGTGGAGGACAAGGCTGTATTCTCCTGACGAAATCTCAATGTTTCCTGTCTCCGGAAGCTGTAAACGATCTATTTAATTCTAGGTATTATCAAGGAACGACGAATATGTGAAATTTATGATTATTTTTTAGAACCAGCCAAATAAGGTGTTCGTTTCGATGGAACCGTTGAGCTTTTAAATGGAATTTTGGAACAATTCGATTTTGTGTATCAGCGGACTAGTGTATGTTTATGATTCAAATTTCGTTTTAAACAATGCGAATTAAGGTACCGTACTCAATTGACGAAATATGATCAAAATGTTTGGAAACTTCTCTCAATTTACATTTCACCTTTTTGGTTTGTCAGGTCACATTTTATATTGAACCTACATATTTCTTCATTTTGATATGGTTTTTGTTATTAATTTTGATCAATAATTAATTTTCCAATTACCCAACCTTCAAGCTGGTAAGAGTAATTTTCGGCCAGACATTAGACTCTTTTCCGGATTCTTTTTTCAAAATTTCAAATTCGATGTCGCCACTGGAGGTGAAACTCCAAACGAGTTTTCCGGCTCCTTGTGATTTACTAAAATACTTCATCTTTTCAAATTACATATTTTTTAATTTACCATGACAGTTCCACTGATTGATGCGATTTTACTGAAAAGGATTTTGATTTCGGCGCCTTGAGTAGTCCATACTCAGTCCAGAACAAATCAGGATTCTTATGGTCAGCTTTTTTAATTTGTTTCGGTGGTCGACAAACGCTCTCTGGCGGTTCCGCGTAGCCACTATCATCACGATATGTACCGCCGTACTCTTCTGGTATAACATTCACCTCGAGATACTTTTTCAAATCATCTGTGCTGCTAAGAAAAGCGAGTTTTTCGGCGGTATTCGTGTCAATAATGCGTCTCGTCACTTGCCACATAAGAGAGATGATACCTGGTGGGTTGATCAGCAAAAGTTTGCAAAGCTACAAAATTTCACGATTAGGAAAGAAATTCAACGATTGGAATATTACATGCTCGCTAAAGTGCCTTGCCCACACATCGACAACCAATCTTGCAAGTTGCGCCGGCCCAGAAAGCGGATTTAGGAAATCGGTTAGATTCAAACCTTTGAGATCAAGAATACATACAACAGATGATGGTTTTCCTTAAATGGTGTAAAGTATTGTGAAGAACAAGAGTGTATGATATACCTGTCTCTCGTTCAGTATGAGCCATTGCTCTGGAGAAATTCTCTTGGAGCATGTAGTACGAATGAAGAACATATGACAATGGGATAACCTTCATGATCTCTTTCAAGTCGGTTCCTTCCATTTTCTGCACAAAAACGTGAACATTGTTTGAGGTTCGCCCATAATCGATAAGAGAAATATTGAATCGCTGAAAACTTGCTACGATTTTCGATAGCTCACTGAATTTATTACTTCAAATGTTTGCCTTCCTATTTCGACTTTTGTGAAAATCTCCAAATCCGTCGCATTTTCATACCCAAGAAGTTTGCGATGCTCGAACAGCTCATAGATTTTTTCCGTTGTCTTCTCGACATCGCCATTATTGGCAGTCAGAAATCTTGCAAAAAAGAATGGCGAATCAATCTCTTTTGGCACTTTGATTCTTGCCCGCATTTCTTCGCCTTTCTTCAGATTTTCAGCGGAATAGGTCTTCGGAATAATCATGTCGTCGTGCATTTCTAATAAATTTCATTGGTTCAAAGGTTAAAGAATGGTCATTATAATCGATAAAAACGAAGAAAATATGTAGATACTTTTTCTTGCATAATCAAGATTAAAAATCTCAAATTCGAGAGAAAATGGTGTGTAACATTTTTGAAATATGTTGGTGAGTATCAGTGAGAATTTCTAAGGTTGAAGGATACATAAATTCATGTTTTCATTAAATCATTTCAAAGACTCATAAAAATGAATTTCGAATCAAACAAGGAACACGACTCTTAAAAAAAAATAGAACGATAATGTATCAAACCGAAAGATCTATGAATTGAATCAGGTGATGATTGAAATTGGCGTCACTCAGCAACACGGAAAAGTTCTCAAGTTTGGCGAAATGAAGACACAGACAATGTTGGCGCGCTTATTTTCAGTTACCAGTCTTTCGAATTGTTTTTTTAGTCGATAGCAATCGTAAATGAGCGGAAGAGCGATTCGCATGCCATTGAAATTTTCGAATTTATTTTTTAATTTTAAGAAGTTGATGAAAATGAATAAGAGAGTAGTTATGAGCGAAAGAAAAATTAAGCGACGACCTTGAAATGATAAAGAAGGAGATAACGAGAATTCGTTGAAATCGCCAAACACAAATAACTGTATTCGGGTTTAATATCCGCCCAATTGGCAACGGCAGGAAGCGTGAAGAATCAAACACCGTTGGGGTCGTCGAGTAGTTGGCGAACATAAACAGTAGAATGACTGTCGTCGAATGGACACAAGGTTTTTGGGCGGAAACCGTTTTCGCGAAGACAATGGACAATACGGTCACGCATTGTGGCAGTCGGAGTAGGTAAAAACTTTATGGGCATCATATGAGAGCAACTCGCAATGTTTGAACTGTGTAGGATTTTCTATCTCAAGATATGTTAGTGTATAGCACTTTTAGTGCGACTTTTTTGTACTTGACTGCCTTGAACAAAGTTTTGAGAATTATTGGGGGGTTTTATTGGATTGATTTTTGGAGAATATAGGAAAAACGTTTATAAAAATGAGACGCACAGTGAAAAGAGGGAGACATTCAAAATTTGCATTGAATATTTGAGAGTAGTGCTGTTGAGAAAACAGAAACATGTTTTTGACGGCGAGACAATTACAGTCTGAATTCATTTGAATGTGAACAATTAAAAGTTTCGAAACTTGCAATATGACCTATTTTAGACAATGTATGCATTGTTGAAGGCTGCATTTTTACCTACAGTTTCAGTTGGAAGGCGATGTTTCAGCGAATTCACAAAAATATCATTTCTATATAAAATCGAGACTCGATAACTCGAAAAATGACGGAATCTTAGAAAAACATGTAGACTTCAAACGATCTGGAAAGGACGCGAGAAGTAATCTTAAAATATTTTCAAAAAATTTAATCTCGAAAAGGAAACCGACATCATCGGTTCTAATAATTTCGGTTTTTATTTTTTGTTCATCCTAATGATTCATCGTTCTCGTGAATCAAGAGCCATATTTTCTAGGTTATCATAGTCGAATATTTTGTATTTTTGAAATACTAGTAGGTGATTGATCATTGATCATAAAATTCATGTTTTCTCTTTCAACGGGATGAGCTCATATGATACGATGTGTTCTCTGATAACAAGCTCGAGGTTCATTAACCACAGGCAAAAAGCAAGTATCAGATGAAACAACCGAAGCAGGTTCCTTGATCACAATAAAGAAACTCATTTTTTTTACAATTGACGACTCAATGTTTCCCCACAAGTTTAAACTGCGGAGAGCTGTTCGCTCACTCATTTGTCTAAATCTTTATTGAAATGTCAAGCGGGGAGACCTCACTATGCAATTGCCGCAGGGTTTCTTCATTAAATTTATTGCAAATTTTTTTTTCGCACTATTAAAATTTGTGCTCGAAAATTGCACAATTTATACTGGTTTTTTTTCTTCCAATTCAAAATGGATATTCCGGCATCAAAGGGGTTTTCCCTCGTGGATTTTATGGAGAATAATGAGATTTATTGGGTGAAGCGCGGGAAGACAAAAACAATCTTTTGTTCCGGAAATTGGATGCCTTGATTTTCAATTCAATATGGGTACTCCACAATCTATTTAATACATGTTATTCTCCAAAGTATTTCTGGTTTTTAGAACTGCCATAAAAAAAATAACTTACAAAAGAATTCTCTTGGGTCGATTTATTTTCAGATGAAATACAGCGTTTGGATACTTTTGTTCAAACAATTGTCATTTTTTCGTTTTCCTTCAAAATAATTGCGAAAAAAAGAGGAAACCTGATTGAAATTTTTGTTTAATAAAATATTTAAGTTAAGACCCTCGTTAATTTATTTAAATTCTGAACTTGATCACAATTTAAAACTCAAGCAACTTCATTATAGAAGCTTCCTTAATTTGGTCCCTAAATCTCATATTTTAGCAAGCTTTTATAGATTCATTTCACCCAACCGAAAGTTATCAATATTAATCAAAATCTATGCGACTCATTTCTATATTCAAAAATGTAGTGAAAAATTTAATTAAACCAAAAAATCAGCGCGCGATTCTCTTCAAAGAACCACTTGAGCAACTCCTTACATGGTGAGCACCCTTAAGCCTTATTGTTCTTTTTGGCAGAATATTTTTTGGGGCGAGACCCATCAATGAAATCGCCTCAGAATATTTTCAAAAAGGGGCGGCACCGACGAGTAGCAGCTGCTCCGAAGAGGTGGGGAAGCCCCCACCTATCGTTGTGTTGCTCTCGCACTTCGGCTCATTCCTTTTTTCTTTTTTCTGCTCTCGATTTTTTTTGTTTCATCCGCCCTCCCCCAATTGTTTATTTATTTCACTTTTGACGCTTCTCTAATTCTGAGACCGATTTTTTTCTCGTCTCGCGTCCAATAAACAAATTTCGACCAATTTTGTGAAATGGATTTGGCAATTGAATGAAACGCACTAATTTGGTGGTACTCTTTGCAATTTCTGCTGTTTTTTTTTGCAGACATGGTGGATGCCACCACAGTCGTCGAACGGGAGCAATGGTCCTCTTGGGCCGATTTCATCATGAGCTGTATCGGCTACGCGATCGGACTCGGCAACGTGTGGCGTTTCCCATATTTGTGCTATCAGAATGGCGGAGGTTTGTGACATTTTATCGCAAGGCGACCATTTGTCAGACACGCTCGTCTCATGTGTGTCTCGACGCCCGAAGTGATTTGTCACAATTTGAATCATTTCGTCGTAAAAGTGTAAAAAGTATATGCAAGTCCTATCAAACGATCGATGCCACCAGCCCGCCTTCAACGATCGACAAATCTCATTAATTTGCAGGCGCTTTCCTCATTCCATATTGCATTTCATTGGTCTTCTGCGGTGCGCCGCTTTTCATTTTGGAAACATCATGGGGACAGCTTCTGTCGGTTGGAGGACTCGGCATGTTCAAGATTTGTCCAATCTTCAAAGGTTCGGCTTGAAAGTATATAATGAAAGTGTAAAATGAAAAAAAAAAAAAACACCGCGAAAGATATCTTGGAATGAGTTATGAAATCTGAATGAAGTCGAAGGATCGGAATATACTAAACATGAGCGCATAAATGTTAAAAATCATAATCCTTTAATTAAATTGATTACTGAGAATTTAATTTTCTAAAATTAGAAAATCTATCATCGAATTCAGGCGTTGGAATTGCTGCCGCTGTAATGGCTTTCTGGCTTAACATTTACTACATCGTCGTCCTCAGCTGGGCTGCAACCTATCTGTACAACTCGATTCGTCTTGATGACAATGTTCCATGGCGCAACTGTGACCATCCATGGAACACCCCTCGCTGCCGGTCTGAATACGAGAAAATCCCGTGCGATAGCAATCGGACAATCGCTGAGTTCTTCAATGTTAAGGTTGGATATGTATCAAATTTCGTTTTGTCTAATTCTATACCTCAAGGTTCTGACCGCTGAGCATCTACTCGAATACAAAAAACAATTTTTCGTTGGTGCCAAAGCGAATTTCACGGTTTGCAGTGCTGCTGATCTGTCGGTTGTGTCTCCTGTCAAAGAGTTTTGGAAGTGGGTCATTGAAACATGATTGAACAGCTGATAAGATCGAAATGAGAAGAAAGAAGAGCAAATTCTTCTCAGATTATTGATCACGCTTCTTTTAAAAACGCGCGTCTCTTTGAAATTCCTGACACAATCTTTAAAAATCGTGATTAGACTCATTAATTTTTTTTCGTTAACAGCAAATGCTTTAACACATGTTTCGAGTATTGCAACATTTGATCCAGATGTGTTACATTCACGGGATTCCTCACTTGCGGGTTGCCCGCACTGCTTGCGGGTTGTCATCAAACAAACTTTGAGTTGACGACAACACACACCGCGATGATTTATAAGCCCCCACGGTGGTGCTCATAATTTTTTGGCAGGCTGTGTAACGCAACAATTCGTCAATTTTTTTTCTAGTCATCGCGTTCTTGGTATCTCTGCCGGACTCGATCATCCCGGAGGTCTTCGATGGGATCTCGCGTTTTTCTTGCTACTCGTCTGGATTGTCTGCTACCTTTGCATCTTCAAAGGAGTCAAATGGACAGGAAAGGTCGTCTACCTCACCGCTTCGTTCCCATATATCATGCTGTTCTGTCTCTTGATCCGCGGACTCACCCTACCAGGCGCAGGAGTTGGACTCGAGTTCTATCTGAAACCCGATTTTTCGAAACTGCTAGAATCAAAAGTTTGGGTCGATGCTGTAACTCAAGTGTTTTTCTCATACGGTCTCGGATTAGGAGCTCTCGTTGCATTGGGAAGCTACAACAAATTCAATAATAATGTCTACAAGTAATTCAGATTTTTCAGAATTGACAAAAAATTGAATATTTAGGCAAGCACTTACTGTCTGCTTTGTAAATAGTGGAACATCGGTGTTCGCCGGTTTCGTTATTTTCTCATTCATCGGATTCATGGCAACTCAACAAGAAAAATCGGTGGCCGAAGTTGCTCAAGCTGGACCAGGTCTCTTGTTTTTGGCCTATCCTTCTGGAATCCTACAACTTCCATACACCCAATTTTGGTCGTGCCTTTTCTTTTTGATGGTATTGTTCCTAGGAGTGGATTCACAGGTAACTCGCAACTTCAAAAAACTTGACGCCGTATTCGGATGTTCTTGAAGTTTTGCACAATGGAAGGCTTCTTCACCGCGATTATTGATGAGCTTCCGCATTTAATTCGTGGTCGAAAATACGGACGAGAGATTTTTGTCGGAATTATTTGTTTCATTTCTTACATTGTCGGTCTTACCACTGTCACCGAAGGAGGATTCTATGTGTTCCAATTGTTCGATTTTTACGCCGCCTCAGGATGGGCTCTTCTTTGGCTCTTGTTCTTCGAATGTATTGCCATTTCTTGGAGTTTAGGTTTGTAGAGTTGTCAATTAGAAACGCCCATCAAAATATTTCAGGAATTGATCGTTGGTATGAGCACATGAAAAGCATGATTGGATACTACCCGAGCAGATGGTGGAAATTCTGCTGGGTGTTCGCAACACCATCGGTTTGCTTTGTAAGTTTCTCATTTTAATAGACAGCTCATAGTATATCATAAACTATTTAAAGGGAGTCCTTCTGTTCGGTCTCATTAAGTACCAACCTCTGCGTATCGATGCCTATGATTACGACTATCCCTTCTGGGGTCATGTCTTCGGATGGTTCTTGTCGCTTTCTTCAATGCTTTGCATCCCTGGATACGCAATCTATCTCTGGATCGTAACACCTGGAACATTCCAGGAAAAAGTGAAACTCCTCTGTCGGCCTGACATTGAGATTCCAGGAGTATCTGAGAACATTGAGCTTGTCGATGATTGCCATAATATTTAGAATTTTTTGATGTTCTTCTAGCTACTATTTTTCATTTTCATTGTCAACATTCCATGCTTCTTCGTTTTTAAATAGTGTTGATCAAATTTTGATAATATTACTACAAATAAATATGTATTCAAAATATCGATCAATTATAAAATTTACTATGCTTTGACCGATTAGCAAAAAACTAGACAAACAAAGAATTTTTATGTATGTTTATAGTATAGTCATTTTCATATATCGAGACTAACAGCGGACACATTTTGCTCAAAACGGGAAACTATTCAATTACAGGGTGGCTGAAAATTACCCGGACTAAAATTTCGAGCCTTCGTGAGGCGCACTGGTGCTTTTTCAGCGCAATGTTTTTTAATTTTTTTAATTAGCAACGTTTTTTTTACTATCTCTCAAATTTTCATGATAATTGGTTCGGTTTTAGCAAAATGGCGAAGCAAAATGCAAATCGACCCGCAATTATCGCATTGCACAAGTCCGGAATAGGCACGTATGCAATTTGGAAGCATCTGGGAATTCCGAAAAGCACCGTCTACGATGCGATTTTTTGTTTCAAGGATCTTCGCACAACCCAGGACCGTGCAGGCAGAGGAAGAACAACTACGGTGACGACTTCTTCGAACGTTAAGATCGTCCGAGACAGAATCAGACGAAGTGCTCATCAGAGCATCAGAAAAATGGCTTCCGCCCTGAATATGTCACGAGCTTCAATGACAACCATTGTCAAAAAGAAGCTTAAGTTGACTTCTTATTGTGTCAGAAAAGCGGCCATCCTTTCTCAATCCAACAAGCTCAAACGGCACCAAAAGGCAAAACTCCTTTTGGCGGGCGCGCGGGTTGGGGAACATCTGTCGATGGTCTTTTCGGACGAGAAGCTGTTCACCGTGGAGGCCGAATTCAATTCGCAAAACCATCGAGTGCTTGCCCGAACGTCCGAGGAAGCTTCAGAACTCGGCCGGACTATTCATCGTAAGTCGCACCCCGTCAGCGTCATGATCTTCGGTGCCATCTGCTCCAATGGCAAATGTCCTCTGATTTTCGTGAAAAATGGTGTAAAATCGACAAAGACTTCTATGCCAATGAGATCCTGAAGAAGAACTTGCTTCGTTGGACCCAAAAACACTTTGGTGGAAAACGATGGGTGTTCCAGAAGGACGGGACGCCAGCTCATACTGCAAAGTTTACGCAGGAGTGGTGCGCCAACAATTTCCCCTCCTTCATCAAGTCAACAGAAGGGACCGCCACGTCTCCTGACCTTAATCTGTTGGACTATTCCGAATGGGGGTCTTACAGAGTAAGGTCTGTGCTAGTCCCCACCCGAATTTGGTCTCTCAAAAGAAAGCGCTGATCGAGGAATGGGACAAATTGTCGGTGGAATACCTGCGCGCCACGGTCGACGCATATCCGAAGCGTCTTCGCGCCGTCATCAGAAACCGCGGAGATCGAATCGAACAACGATAATCTATTTATGTTTGTTATTGTAAAAATAAGCTAAATACGAAATTTGAGCGTGTTTCAACAATTATTCACTGAAATACATTGGTTTTCATATAGTCCGGGTAATTTTCAGCCACCCTGTAGTTACAACAAAAGTCGCCCACGGCTTAACTCGACACACTAAATTGAGGGCGATGTTAAATTGGAGTGTCGTAATGGTAGGATAAAAAACTTTGGGACAAACCGTGGAAGTTTTTGGGAACCCCCGAGAAACCCCGATGTTTAAACCGAAACCAACCACGGTTTGTCCTTTTCGAGAATCGTTGAGATATATTTCAAAGAACACTCGGGAAAAAGAGCCCATTATTTTAGATTTTGAAAAGTACAAATTTTCGATATTGTTTGTATACGAATAAAGTCAAAATTTTTAGTATTAGGCAGTGTAACGAAAAAAAAAATCAAAATGATAATAATGTGAAAACCTAATCGTTTATATAAACATAGTATATTCAATACTTTATTTCAGTAAGATCAGAGAGAGAGTTGCTTTGCCGGTTCTTCCATTCTGAAAAAATCGACGATATTTGTAATCCAACGCGAAACCACGAATAACCTTGAAAACCACACATGCTAAAAAAATAGCATGTTTGTTTTCAATCATAACACTTCTCAAGTGTAGTATTTCCGCCCCCAATTTATTTATTCATTTGCATCTGCGGCTCGTCTCGTTTTCGTCTCAAATTCCGATTATTTTTGGCTAAATTACAAGTTTTGTTCCAAAAATGAAAAAAAAAATGTAATAATGCGTCTGATTTTGCTTTTCATTCTTTTCTGTTATGAATACCGTGAATAAAAATAAAAAGAAGAAGAAGAAGGATGAGAAGATGGCGACGAGAAAAAAAAATATTTGGATGAGCACGAAGAAACATTAATTAGATCCACAGAATGACGGGGGGATCACCTCAAGATGCATTCCGACGGTGCCGAATCTAATTCGATTTTGTGCTTGCGGCTCATCTCACCCATCTTGACATTTATTTCATTTTTTTCTGTTCGATAGTTGATCTTGATCCAAAGCACAATGCAAATAAATAGTTTTTGATTTTTCTCTTTTTCCTCGTGTTTTTACATTGTTTTCCATTATTTTTAGAAGGAGGCAGATGACTTGATTCGTCAGCTCGTTACATTCCACAAACATTTCGATTTGAAGTCATCTTTTTAAATTGTCGTCTGTGTTTTATCACAAACAATACGGTAATACATGGTTTCTCAGTCTAAACAATATTTTTTATATAAAATCAGTAAGTGGAAGTGCAAAGCTAATATGTACTTCTGAAACTCTAAATATCGGATATTTCTTAATTTTGTTTCGAGGAATACCGAAAAGTGGAAGATTTTTTTTCACCAGAAACATGAAGATTCCTATCATTTGCGATCAAACATTAGACATTCGAAAGTGGAATTTTCTGCATCTTCGCCAACTTTTTTTTACTTCTTGATGATACTTTAGTGTGAAGAACCAAACGGAAGTCGAGCATCCGTCGCTCAGTCTCCTTTGTACTCTTTGTGCCCATTTCATACCAATTTAGGAAGTTTCGACGGCAATAACTATGCATAGTCGTATGCTACTTGTTGTCGTTTTTCTTTAATTTTGAAACAATACACAAGGTTTAATAAAAGGATGGTCAAGTATACACATTCATATCAATTCAATGCAAATAAATCATTATCATTATTTTATTTTTCTCCACATTCACCTCTATTCAATACTTACATTTGCAATCACAAGGAGTGACAGACCAAAAACTCAACATTTGACAATTAAATGAACTCGACAAACCCATTGAGCCTTTCTTTTAGATTTGTCATAAATAATAAAAAAGAAAATAATTGAGAACAAATAGCAAAACCATTTGATACACGTGTGCTCATTTATAATGTCAAATTTAGATGAGGCTCACAGCTGTGGTGGCCGCTGCCACGGTCATGTCTCTTATCAAATTATTATTATTTTTATTTTTAAAAACTTTATATTCGAAACCACGTAATTAAATTATTTCTGAAGAATGCGGAGAGAATGATACTTGTGAGTTTATTCTTGAAGTCTCAGATCCAACGTATTTTTGCATTGAACATCACCAAATTTGCAATGGCGCTCTTTTCAGAAGCTTTCTGCATTCATTTCACAATTTCAGGAAATGATTGATGCTGAAATAAATTATACTACCGCCCCACGCCCTGTTCTCAGTTCGAAAGAAAGCCAACAAAGAAAAATCGTTTTCTATGGCTTTAAATTACTTCTAGCAAATTGGAATTGATGGCGAGCAAAACGAAATGCCTATTTAGAATGCATGAAAGTTTTGCGGTACTGAATCGAACGTGTGAAAGAGAAAAACGTGTTTTTGTGCTCTCCTGTGCTTCTTCATTTTTCTTTTGTTTGTCGTTTCTTCCTTGCTTTATTCAAATATCCTTTGGCTAAATTGATCAAGTGACGTTGTGTGATCTACGAACACTAGAAGCCCTGTAAGGCGAAATTGCCCAAGAGACCGCCTAATTCGCTTAGAGCATGCAATCCTTAGGATAGAAGCAACTAGGCAACATTGATTTTCGGCTGAAAAATCTGTTGGAAAGTGGAAAATGATTGAACATTATTCTAGAAGAGTTTCGACTCAAACGCAAATCCTTTTAGCGACTCTCAGCGATGTTATTAATACTTTACGAGTTAATCCAATTTCTCCATTTTGCCACATTTATTCAATGTGGGGTGATTGTTATTAATTTATCAAAGAGTTTTCCTCGCATTGTCCTTCCCTTGTAGATTAAAAATTCACGTGGGGGAAAACGACACAATTTCTTGTTAGGAAAAGAAGAAACGCTCCAACGAATATTCTTTGATAATGCTTTATATACGAAGATGTTATTATTGCTCGCCTTCGCTTATTAAAAATGGATATTTTGCATTATCGCCATGATGAGATGGTATAGTCGGCGTCCGGCGACTGCTGTACGCGGGTAGATTTACGGGAATGCGTCTCACGAAATGGTCTCGCAAAGACTATCAGGTTATTTCAAATTTTATGGACTGGTGCGATAATTTTTTAATCGAATGACGTTGGAAATTCAAAGAAAATGCGAAACTCATCAAGAAAAATAAAGCAGTTCACGTGTAAACAGCAAAATAAGCATTCACGCGTGGCGAGACCTTTTCAAGGCGCATGCGCGTAAATCTACCCGCGTACAGCAGTCGCCGGACGCCGACTATATGTGTTCAGAAAAAAAAACATTTTTATCTGAGTTAGTATTACATTTTTTGGGGTTCCACCCACAGCACTGCTTAATCCTTAGGTCGCCCGACGTTCGGCTCTCCTAGATAGCCAGTTTGCGTCTACCCTTTCCTAGATAGCCAGTTTGCGTCTACCCGGGGGGGGGGGAACTGCCCAAAAATTCACTAAGTAAAGTTCGGTTTCACCTTCAAAAAGCATCAAAAAATTCCTTATTCAACATTTTCAAGCACTTCGCTATAGATACGAAACAAAATCTTCTACGAGTTTTTAATAAAAATC